CTTTTTTATTGCATTTGTAAGATTCTTAAATGGCTCCCATGTGCTTATGCTAATATCATATCTATGCCAATATATAAGATATTATAACACATTTTGCCATTGTCTTAAGTCGAAGACCTCTTTTAACTCAAACTCTTGATTGTTGTCAACTTTTATACGAAGTGGTGGAATTAGTCTTCTTTTCAATATATCTACTATCTTGTATGGTTAAAGAAAAGATATAATAAATATATAATAATCTTTTATAGACTCTAATAGATGTAACCAATATGAAATTAAATTGTTTCATTTAAAAATAAAAAATAATCCAAATGTATGATAATCTAACTTATTATAAGAACAAATAGTCTTTAAATCCAATAGACATCTGCATTGATCTTTTATTGTTCTTGAGATTTACTTAATTAAGTTATTATTATTACATGTAGCTTTAATAAACAACTTGTCAAATCTTTTGCCACAAGATTATCAAAACTATTAAGTTATAGGTGATAATTATAATTAGTATAAAAAAGTGATTATTGAATAAAAAAATACATTGAGTTAATATAGAAAAAAAAAATTATGTCAAAAAATTATTTAATTATTTTGATAGCAATTAATAATGTATTTCAAGTATTCTTCTAAAATTTAATTCACTTATTATATTTGTCTATTAATTTGAAGATAAAAGGTGAAAGATAATTTAATGTTCATCATCAATATCTTCAAAAAAAAAATTTTAAACCTAGATATAAATTGAATCCTTCTATTTGATATAATATCCATTGACAATCTATGATAACAATAAATATTATCAAAAAGAAGTCTAGATATTTCTTTAGGAATATTGATTTTTTATATATGATATTAAACATGCCATTTTAATGAAATAATTTTCTATGACAAATATAAAATCATAAAAGCTCAAGATTAAAAGATTTGTAATAAAATCCATAGAAATATATGACTATGGTTGTTTTAATATAAGTAGTGGTTGAAGAAGTCCACAAAGTTGATGATAAAGAATTTTAGATCTTGAATAAATATCACATAATTGTAAAAAGTTTGTAACTACTTTCTATAATTGAGTCCACAAAAAATATCTAAATATTAAATCTAAGGTCTTATTGTATTCAAAATATCTTACAGTTAGAAAATTTTGAAAATCTTGAAAAATATGTAATTGTGTTTAATATTTTGAAACATATAAGCATTTCTTGAAATAAAAAACTATCCTTGAATTTAAACATAAAAAATTTATGAAATTTAAAAGAATAATTTGTTATATCATGCATAAAAAGGTATATGGACATACATTTTTGAACTTGATTAGAAAATATTATACAAAAAATTAATATTAATTCAATTATTTGAAGATAAATTATTGTGGCTTCAAAAAAATGATTCATTATCAATCAAAAATTTTATCTCTTTTTTGGGTATAAAATAAGAACGTTGAAAAAAGGCACCTAATAAACCTTGTTGTTTTACTAATAAAGTATAATATTAAATACAAATCTTGACTAAAACATGCTTTATTAAGCTTGGAAATGTTTCAAAATATATATTGATATTGAATATTTGAGGTTCTTGTGATTTTTATAAATAATCATTAGATTAAAAGTACATTCAAAATAATGGTTTTATTTTAAAAATAAATCCACAACTACAAAAAAAAATTCTTTGTTGTAGATCTTATAATTAAATTTGATTGATAATTTTTTTTAAAATAAAAATCGATAAAATGAAGTTTGTCATTTTTTTTCATTTGTGACAATATAGAATCTAAGATAATGTCTTCATAATCCTTAAATTTTTTTAGATTCTATCCTTTCTACTTGCTTAGCAAAATACTAGGTTATACTATGGAAAAAATTAAGATTACAAGAAATCCAATCTATCCAAGGATTATACTTTTTTTAGCTATATTAAGCCTAAAATGACTAAATAGAAGGAAATCTAATAATATTATATATCATTAAACTATTATAACCATTTGTTGATACTTCTACTAAGATAGTTTCATGAACAATAACTCCAAAAATAAATAAATAAATAAATAAATAAATGACTATCTATGATTTCTATATGCATAGATTTTGTATTATTTATTAAAGATATACTACGTCTTTTAGTAAAGTCTTCATCTAAAAAACAAGCTAATGTACTTGAATCTAGCATGATGAAGGCTTTAAGATTTAAGATTTAAGATTTTAAACAAATATCTATTCTAAAACAAATTGAAGGTTTTAGTTGAATATAAAACCTTTACCAAGTTTTGCATAAGATTTGAACTACACAATCTATATTGTATCTAAATAAATAAATAAATAAATAAATAAATAATTCTAATATATTATCTTCATTAATAGTCATGCTTCTCATTTTGTGGTTCTATTGCTTCTTTAAACAAGGTTGAGCAGTGTACTTAGATTCTCTATAATATAAGCACAATTCTTCTTAATAATATTAAGTCTTTTCTTACTTGGTAAGAGATTTGAGAGGTATTCCATCAATTTTTATAGGTTTTGGTCTTTATAAATGAATTTCTAAAAACTCAATAGTTGTTGTTATGACTTGATTTATTTTTCTTCAATCAAAACTTTGTTCTTTGCGCCTTTTAAAGAATTGATTGTTGTATATAATTGCTTAAGTAATAAATTATTCTAATAAATTTGCTTTTGCCATTTTAATCATAAATCTTTAATATTATCTTTTATTCTATATTAAGATTGGTTGATAAGGATTTCATTATTCCAATTTATGTCACATATAAGGTTTTGGAATTTAACTATATACATAGTAGCTATTTGCAAATTATATTGTAAAGATAGGAGTTTTATATCTACTATTCTTTTTCAATCACTCTCTCCAAATATAGCTGTAAACACTTCTAATAACAAATTTAGATTATGTAAGAGTTATGAATATTTTTATATAAAAGGTTGAAACTAAGAAAAATCCTTCATGTGAATACACTTATATAGTCAACTTAAGTAAGTTTGTCAAGATATTAGATATGATATAACCTAAAATAGAATTTAGCTTATTGTAAAAATCTTCAAAATTTTGTTTTTATTTCATCAAACTTCTCTAGCAGACTAATTTTTGTCTCATTCATAATTATAATAGCAAGGTTTTTTAGATTCAATTAAAAGATTGATGTACTTGCTTTTCTTAACTACTTAGCTTCTTCACATAGATATTAGGTCTTATTGTTGAATTATTTAATAGACATAGGAATAATACTTCCATACTTGACATTGGTAATTTGTAAAATTCAAGCCTTAAGAGTGTTAACAAGCTTGTGAAGATTTGAAATAGTTCCAAATCTATTTTGACTTCAATGTAGTATGTATAATTTATTTTCCTTCTATTTTTGTATTAGGCAACTTTAATAAATCCAAAAATCAAATTAGAAGAAGATAATCCACAACTTCTAATATCAAATCAAAATTTCTACAAAGAAATATAGTTTATTTTCTTTGAAGAAAGAATCAATGTTAAAAATACAAAAACTATTAATTTAAAGTCAGAATAACAAGGGTGGTAATCTACTCACTTGTAAAACAAAACAAGAATAATATATTAGTATTCTTAATCAATTCTTAAAGACATGAACTATAACAAAACTCTAAAAAAAACAATACACTTTTGTAACACTCAAAAAGAAAAAGTAGACAAATGAAAGATAAATATAAGATAAAAATTAAAATAACTCTTGGCAAATACAAAGAGATTAGATACTTTTGAACTAAGACAAGAGCACAAGAAAGGCATTGACAAGAGTGAATAAGGCCTTACTCTTGCCACCATATATGCTATCTAACTAAGATATATGGCCATCTTTTATAGGTCATCTAACATGTGTCTAACTTGCTAGACACATGTCTAATTTGCAAGGTAAGTTTCCAACATGTGCTACATGTGGTTAACTTGTAAACTAAGTGGTCAACATGTATAACACATGGCAAACTTGTTGGCAAAGTTTTTAACCTACTAATCACCTATAAATACTTGGAAAGACAAATTTGTGCCTAAAAAGATTCTAAAATATTTGTCCATAAGATATTATTAACTTTACTTACTTCTACTCACTAATATTTAATTCCTCTTATCTTCATTAGCACTAGTATGTTTGTAATAAATATTGATGTTTTATACTAAAAATATCAAAGTATTGATGTTATTTATAATAATAATTTTAGAAATATAAAATATACTAATTTTATAAATATAATCTATCATCTACATTTTAAGAATCATATTTATTTCGTAGTGCAATTTTAACATATAAAAGAATATGTTAATAAATACATCAAAATATCCAAGTAATACCAATTAAAAGTCATTTCAAATATTTATTTAATTCTATTAGAATATAAATTTTGATATATACAATCTATTTTCATCTTTTTTGTGATTTGATATTTTATTTATAAATTCTAAACATATTCATATATTTATTTGTGTTGCAATAGATATAGATAAAACAATATAATTCTTATGAAATTACACCAAATCTTAATTAGTAATATCATTTTCTATTCCTTAAAAGAAACATGTTAACTTAGATTTTATCATTTCTATTTTAATTATTATTCAAAGTTAGTACAATTTTTTGCAAAAAACTTTGTATTTTAAGTTACTTTATTTTTTACATCTCTTAGGTAATGTTGTTAATTTCTATTTAAGTTTCTAAAACTTAATTTTTTCCCTAATTGTGGAAATCATTAAGGATTATCTTCTTTCCAATGCTACTCAATAATGCATTGAATCTTTTCAAATTCATAAATAAACTTGCATTGAAAACATCAATAACTAGAATAATGCACAAACAACTAGAGATGAATTTCAACCTTTAAATATCTCGTTTTGAATATATTCTTTTAAGATTCTTTCTTACAATTGTAGACAATAGAAAATAAGCCATACACTAAGCTTGAGAATACGTAAATCACTTGAGAATAGGTAAATCATAGATTATGAATTCAAATGTACCAATCAAGCCACAATAATATCACCTGAATCAATTGCACTTTCAGTTAACGGTGTGAAAAGCTCATCTTAGTTACAATAAATTCATATCTCAGGATCTCTCCACTCATTTATGCTTTCCGCAATGAAGTTGCCGCAACTTCGCTGTTATTGCAGCCTTCTACCAGAAACTCCACTAATGAACAACAGTTCAGCAGGTACTTTTCAAGGAGCTATTGTTCGAGACAATGTATAAGGCTACATTTAATGTCTTGAACCCGATAAAACGAAAATAAGGAGCCAGGAGAATTTGAGAGGGGAATAAGCACCGAAGAACTAGTAATATTTACTGTACTTTTAGTGTGACTTTGTGAACCATTGTTTCCTTGTGGATCTGATGACAGCTTTTCTCAACAAGATCCAACAATTTCTCAATGTTGACAGCCCAAGAGTTCAGAACGTCATTGCTATCCATCTTGCTGATGAAACAGACCACTCCCGCTGGCCTATCGACCTTCGCAATCAAGGCCTTCGAAACCACCATCTCTGAGAGATGCTTCTCCGTTTCCTGTCATATGAGCAAAATGTCAGAGCAAACATGTATGAACCCAGCAGGTTGATCTCCATTACAATAGTGCCGCCTGACATTTAGTGGCGATCTCGCAAACATTTCGATATATATATATATATATATATATATATATATATATATATATAATCTGCAAGCATCTCTCAGGGGTGAAGACTTCCAACATTGACCACCGCAGGTATTTATTTGTCACGATGCAAGTAACAACGTGTAACATTTACTATCGTCGACATCTAACATGGCATCATCTCATTAACAAAATCGACTCATAAAACATACAAACATAGTGAAAAACCAAGTCACAAAATTTTGAGAATTAGTACCTGGAGGCTGAGGCACAACAGTTCTGAAAGCCTCGTCAAGGTGATTCTCGAGTAATATTTGGAAACCACCAAGATATTCTGTGTCAAAGTGTCGAACATCAAACAAAAGAAACATGTCAATGAGGATGCTCGTGCATTACACCCTTTCTCAAACCTATGCACTTAATAAAATTCTGCTAAGAAATACACCCAGATTCTAGTCCGCATTTTTCCCAACTAGAGAAAGATGGAATACATATATTTACATGTTCAATAACTCGCTGACGAAGGTCTTCAGCTGCCCGCTCTCCAAGCGCCCCACCAGGGAGATTAACCTCTTGGTCAAACTCAGTCTTGTAATCTTCCCAAAAGCGGTCCCACCTTATCACTTCCATAGTCACAATCAGCTTTAATAAAGCTCTGCAATAAAAATAAGAAAATGAAGTCTTAGATTAACAAAAACGTTCCTCATCACTTTCGTATTTCCAAAATAAGAATGTCAAAGCACTCGCTTGGATAAAATGAACTAAGCAATGAAGACAGACAGTTCCAACGAGAATGTAATGATTATCACACTAACTTGCTCCAGGCGTTATTAGCATCCCTCACTTAATATCCCTTCAAAACGTCGCTTTTTATCATCTCATTAACAAAATCGACTCATAAAACATACAATATAACATTTGCATAGCGAACGTACTGGAATTTAGGAATTTCGGACAACTTCTTGTCTTCAAGAGTGCTGTTCAGTAAGCTGGATTGCATAGGGTCATGGGGGGCCAGAACTAAATACCAACATATCTTCCTCAAAATCTAAGACAACATCCAAACACCAAATAAACAAGATATTAGAGAAAAATGGTAACAGAGGACATTGATTCACATACACTGTAAATAAACGATTCAGATTCATAGTTACACCAACGCAAAAGGACGCAGGCCTTGTACACTCACGGGAACCCATTCTGGCTGCCCTTCAACTGCCATGGCAGTATCAGAATACGAGCTCTCATCCTTCACCAGAGCCTCGTATATAGCCATATAGCTCCGACACATTTCCAGATACTCATGGTTATGTGCATAGTACCTGGTCAGAATTAACACTACGTTCCATTAAATATGCCATCAAAGTTCAAAGCTGCCCAACTTTCAAATCTCTGATTCCTATCACAGAAAACTAACCCTACTTGGCTAAAGACTCACTTTAGATATTGCAAGCAAAACACAACAACTCCAATACAAGCCTACTATAAAAGTTGATGCTAAAGAAGAAGACATAAACAGACAAACCTGATCATAAGCTCGTAGTAGATCCGCCTCAACTCAGGTAGTGTTGGCACATCGGGAGCTGGTGCCTCGATAATGCTTTCCGCCTCTTTTGACTTCTTCTTTTGTTTAGCAGTTTCAGTGAAACTCTTAGGATTAACCTTTCTTGACAATATCTGAGCCCTAATAAAATCTTTACGGTCCAGGCAAAGCCGGACCTGGCACACCACCCTACTATCAGTACTGGCTCTAACAAAATAACGGTAAGAACTTCGAAGTGCCAGCTCAAGAACTTCAATACAAATACTATTTAAACCAAACGCAAAGTAGCTGGTAAAACAGGATTGCAAATATAAAAAAATCCTTACTTGTTCAAGAATGAAAGCAATCTTCTCAGTTTTTGCCATGGCACCAAAAGTTTCCACCTGAAGACCAAACGCCGATACGAATCAGGGCTCCAATATTCAATACACCACCCTGTGCACTCTAGTAGCACCAAAATGTCTTCCACACCATGAACATTACATGTTACTAACCGTTGAATTGATCAACAGCACGAAGCAATATCACATACCGCGACTTCTTGCATGCAATCCGCAGCTTCGGCGATGTTTCCTTGTTCTTCCTTGATCTTCGCTAGCTTCTTGATTAAGCGAGCTCTTTCTATCTCAACGTATATCTGGCATCGTCACCAATACGTCAATCTATACATTGTACGAACCATCACCATATGTGTTTTACAAGCGCATGCACGCACACCCGCAAAAATACACACACAGTCAAACACACAGCGAGAGAGCGAGAGCGAGAGAAAATTTTAATTTCCAACGATACCACTGGAATTATCACAGGAACATAACAACGAGATTATGAAACTAAAAAATAAAAAATAGAACCTTTCCAGCGGACACAGTGTTGAGAGTCTCGATCAGTGCAATACGAGTTTCAACATCTGGAGTTTCATCTATATACTGCATAGCTTGCTGCACCATTGAAGTCACGGCCTGCAAATCTCCAAAGAAGTCACAGCTTAAGTCCATTGAGATTAAGCCTAGCAGTGGCTACCATCTCATGTACAATCGATTTATTCGAGGGCTGCCTCACAACTGACAATAATATCGATGCATTCATGAGTCTGAGAGGCCGCTCCATATCATTTAATAAATTACCTCCAAAACCCTAATAACAGTCTAGAAAGATGCAAAAGAGCGATACAAGCAAGAGTGCGTAAGGATACAGCATGTGAAATGCACGATTAGGACTCCCAGATGACATCACCAAATGCGTCTTATTCCAAACGACGTAACACAAGGACCTAAATACTTACAAACTCCTGCACCAAAAGTGCTGAGTTGAGCTTTTCGAACTCGGTAAGAAAGAGGGAACCACGACTTACTTGTTTGAGTTGCGACCGTCGCTTCGAAAGAAGCAAGATTTGCTCATTGAGAGTCTTCCATGCTTTCGCTTTATAGCACAATTCGATGATTTCAGTGACCACCTTCTTGGTGCCAGCGACATCTGCAGCAAGTCGCATTTGCTTTTCTTCATTGAGAAGAGACTCAATCGTCGCATCTAGTTTACTGTCCTCCTGTAATAAAAAAAAAAAAAAAAAAAAAAAAAAAAAAAAAAAAATCCCAAAGCCATTCCAAAAAAAATCGAATTCCAAACAATAATCAGCTCCCGAAACCCCAGCCAGCGACTCCCACAGCAAAACCAAACCTAATAACCAAACTGCTAAAATCTCGGATCATTTAAAAGAGATTGAAACAAAGAGAGCAAAGCACGAAGAAGCAAGCACATACCATAATGGAGCGAAGCCTGGGATCGAGAAGCGTGAGTGGCGAGAGGGATGGGGGGAAGGGGAAAAAACGAGGGCGAAGTCAGGAAAATACAAACAACGGAGCTGCGCTGTGCCAGAACCACGATACTACTACCATCTCCTCCCTCCTGTTCCCACTTCCACTTTTGGATGGGCCGGGTCACCCCCCCCCCAACCTGCGTCGATTCCCTCACCCGGCCCCGCTTAACCTCATTCGAAATTTGCCCAAGTTTCAATTATTTTAGAAACTTAAATATATATATATATATATATATAAATTTATATATATATATATATATATATATATATATAAGAATGTAGGTATGTATGTGATGATAGTGATAATCCTCGAGACATGAGGTGCTGTGATTGGTTTCTTGTTAGCAAGATATTTTTTGACGATGTCTTTGTGACAAACAACTTAAGAGGTTTACTACTTTACCAAAATTTGTATCGTAATGTTATTCGTTAAATGAGGAAAGCATTTTATTCGTTGAAGTCTCGCTCGAATCGTTAAATTGACTAGGATGGTTTAATTAGATCCCACGTATGTACTTATGTTTCCACCAGGAGAACAAAATATCCGCCAAAAGAAATGAAATGAAGTAGTGCCCGTTTTCTTTTCCTTTCCTTTTACTTTTACTTTTACTTTTTCTCTTGTTTCCTTTCGTGGTGAACTATATTTTGATACTTTTTGAGTTAAATCTTTTATGCATGAAATGCGGTCCTATTCAACGTGCCCAGTTCTTAAACTAAGCCCTAGAACGACAATTTTTCATCCATCCATTCACCCACCCATGCATCCATGCGTTCATTCACCCATCCAAGTGTGTGACAGAGCTCGGTCACGAAGAAGAAGAGGAGCGGTGTTGCAGCGACAGCAGTAGCTCAATTGAGTTTGTTTGCTTCGCCACAACCAGCCTCGCTTCCATCCCACCATCGCCACCCTCCCCCTTGTCTTTCCTCTCCTCCTCTCTCCTCAAGCACACCACCCTAGTCACCTGAGATTACAGATGCACCTGCAGAAAGAGCGAGAAAGAGAGAGAGAGAGGCAGAGGAACAACCGGCTTGGTGCTCTCAGGAGTTGAGGTTAGCTTATCTGTCCCGCGCCACATGGCACTCGACCAAGGCGATAGGAGTCGCGAGGTACTGCTTCCTAGCGTTGCTTGTTTTCCGTCTCGTTTGTTAGGGTGTTGAGTTACTTGGTATCATTTGGACTGAGTGTGTATTCATTCCAGTGGCCGACAATGGCTATTTCGAGGAGATTAGCCTCTGAATTCTCTGTATGATCATCAAGATTTATATCTATACTCTTCCCTTCTCTACTTAGTATATCGCGTCATTGAAAGGATTTTTAATTATGCTTAGAATCGTTCCCAACAAAGGGGTTCTGTATTAATCACTGGTAGATTTTGAAGGCTGAAAGATTTGTCAATCGGCTTAATGTATTGCGTTCACAGTGTGCTAGGTTTAATTTTACTAACAAGTCCTGCATAATCCTTGATTGTCGAATTGTATGTACTGTGTTGGCGGAATATAAGGAAGATTGTCTTTTAAGTGTCCATTCATTCTGTGTGTGTGCACGCGTTCTGCAGCGTTTGGCTGGTGAATCCGAAAAAAATGGAGAAGAGAGGTGGGAGAGTGATCGACACCAAGGTCAAGATTCTTACAATAACTGCTCAATATTCTATTCGTTTGTTTTGGTTGTTTGATGTGGTTTCTGTTGCATTATGAAACATGTAGAATCGTTTCCTCCCAGGGTGTCCGCCTCTAGAGCTCTGATTTTTAAAATTCGCATTTATTTTAGTAAGGCCCGCTACTGTTTCGATTTAACACGTACGAAACTGTGTTATTTCTTTCTGGAACAGTTTTGATTTCAACATGATTATTCCGATATAAAAGTCCACAATGAAATTACTGCATCTCCGAGATTTTTTCGTATATAAGTATCATGATTTCTAGATTTACTATATTGTCTATCCTGCCGGGTTGTTATGAGGCATTAATAACTTTAATCATAATGACTTGAGGATAACCCTAGATGCCTCTAGAAATGAACTGACAATGTGATTCATGTGCCTTGGTACATTGTGATATGTAGCCAGCAAGAATTTGAATACGTCGGGATCCATGTCAACGGATCAGAAGAAGAAGCTGCTTTGGGGCAGAAAAAAGGCTTTAGTGGAGCAGGTAGGGCTATGTAAATGCTGATTTGGTATTGTAATCGATAGAGGTAAGTGGTCACAACCAGAATGAAAGGATGCTTTTTAGAGCAGAATGTAGGGATTTTTTCCATTTTCACCGGTCGGATATTGCTATAGCATTTATTCTTAGTGTGAGAATGTTGTTGAACCTTCAATGTATGGTGATTTAGATTATTGCCAGATGACCACCAGCTGTGCTGATTAATAATCATTACTTTGCTAACACTAGGTGCACTATGATTTTTATTTTATTTTTCTAATTCTTGTAAGTATGTCTGATTATTCAGCTCATTGTTATACAGGAGCCAGTCGTGGCAGCTGCGGGATCTAATCGCTGGGACACCGTACAATTTTCAGATAGTGAGCGTACCAAAAAATTTCACAAACTCATGGTGAGTACCTGAAAGGATTTGTATCTGGTCACCCTTTATATAATGTTACCTTTACCCAGTTACGTCAAGATTAGCTTGTATACTGTCTATCGCCTGATCTTGTTAAGAAACCGTAGTATTTGATCTTTTCTGGAAAACAGAAGTGTTTTGGTTCGTAGTTTAGAAAGTTAGACAGTGTTTGATGCCTCGATTGGTTTCACAGGGCGTGAAGAATGAAACAAAAGAGGGGAACGCACCACCGTCTGCTTCCGGTGCTAGTGCAGTAACGGAAGAAAAACAGAGAAAGCTTCAAAAGGATTTAGAGAAGCAGTTCAATCAGGGACTGGAAAGACGAGATGGGCGGACTGCTGGATTAGGTTTGTAGCAACGGTACAACCGGCTATCATTTGATGTAAAAATTGAAAATAGTACGAAGGTTCCGTCCTGGCCTTGGGAAACACCATGATGTTCAGTTCCCTTGTTTCATGAGCAAGGTGATACGAAGAAAACAACAAGCGCAACGGTGAGTAGCTTTTCAGAATTCATCGTTAAATCATATTAGATATTTATGCGCCTATTCCAAGTTTAGGGTATGAAGTGAGCTCGGAGATTGGGTTCCTTAGCAGAATGACCAGAGCAAGCATTTTTGCCATTGTTCTGGCTCCATGTTACCTTAAGATACTAGCTTGTAATTTATATGCCGTGTATGCATGTTTTTTTTACGCTGGAGGAGAACCTGATTCTCTTGGTTTTGGGACTGCAACGAATGAACATGTATCTCTTAAAATTTATAATTTCAAGAATTCGAGAATAGAAACTTACTAGCGTAAATCAATGTATAAATTTTTACAATTGGGTTTTAAAAAGTGTAATTTAATCAAGCTTTAATTAAGTGTTCTTTCAGTACGTGAGTTTTCTAATGCCACTCAGAAACACTAGCGTATTCATGTGCTTCCTCACTCTAATCCTTCCACTTATTTTCGTATCGTCTGTAGGTTTAACCGTTTTGCGTTCGGTGAACGACCGCTGTGCCAAACTGTTTCTGAAGCCCCTCAATTGTCACTTATGTAGAAAAGTGAGAACCAAGATTTTGGGTCCTCTATCCTGTCCAGCTTCGCCTCAACTACGCCGGTTTCTGCACCTCTCACTCAGAGAATAGCACAGTCGATAGTGGATATGAACCGCGCCGGTCGTAGAGATTTTAACTCAGAGTAGAGTGATCTCCTCGATGCTCATCTTGAAGTTGCTGCACAGCACAGAAAGGAAATGTCAATGATCGCATCTGCTTCCCCTGTAGAATTAAATCTTGCCTGATTAATCTCTCCCGGTATGCATCCTCTCCGTAAGATGCAGTAGAGGAGACGTTTGTAAAGGTTATTACACATTTTATACGTAAAAACTTCTAACCCAACGGAACTGACGTCATAATGTTCCATTGATACTCCATGTGTTCATAGCATCCTCTTGGAGTTAAAATTCAAAGTAACGTTTTATCTTAAGTTTTTGTGGAACTATCTTGAGCACAAGCGTTCATGTAACATATCGTTTTCTCATTGCCCGGATAGATACAATCCTGATTCACAACGTGAACTAAACCGACAACACTCAATCTGAGCAAGGAAGAAGAATATTCATCACCAATCTGAATCTGAAAAGTAGCTCCGACTATTGGCCGGTGGCCGCTTCGGTGCAGGTTGCGTCTGTTACCGCAACGGGGACGAATAGTTAGAGGAAATGTTAGGTCGAATTATGCACTTGTGACCTCCAGGGTGATAGTACTCATAGAGAGATTACCGACGATGAGCTTCCTCCCCAGACTTCCGTTACTCGCCGACCTAAACAATGTGTGCCAGAGTCCGCCGCGAGGTACACAAATGAAGTTTCAGCGCGAGAAGTTGGCGTAAAGTTGAGAATACTATCACAGTGATGACGACTCTTGGAATGCATTCCAAACTTGAACAGCAGTGAGTCTGGAGACTCACGAGAATGGTGATAAATGCCTGTATAAGATTTATGTACGATGAGTGAGCGAGAGCGAGAGAGAGCCCTTAGTAAAATTTTGATCGCATCAGTGAAATCGAGATTTGATTGACATGCCTTGCGCAGCTCTGGGCAGGAAATCGTTCCATCGCCATCCTGCGATGCAATGGTTCTCAATGCTGTCCAGAGAATGGGGTGTTGTTGGCGCAGCAAGAGACTGGTCGCTTTTTCGTCGTGGGTTTACCTCAGAATCGGCAGTGCAGATCAAGGTATTGCAGGAGAGGACTGAGGCGCCCGTTGGAGATGTCAAAGCAGCTCTGCTGCAGTGTGGATGGGATACTGGTCCGCTTCGCGAATTTGTATATAATTCCTTTTCGGAATTTTCGTGGGGTTTTCATTTGAATTCCTATTAATTTATAACAAGTCGGAAGCAGTGGCGGCATTGATTTAGTTGCTCAAGATCGGTGTTGTTGCTTATAGATGCTGCAATGATGGAGCTGACGAAGAAAGGTCTGATACCTGCGACCCGGAAAACAAATCCTGTAGCTTTGGATGGACTACTTGCTGTGGCGAGTATGAAGGGGGCGGCTGCCGTTATAGAAATAAATTCTGAGACCAATTCCGTTGCTCGAAATGAAATATTTTGCCATCTGGTTTGTAGAGTCTCCTTTCTCTGCATTCAAAGCTTCAAATTTCAACTACATCATGAGTTTATGTGTTTTTAGTTCTATTCTCCTCGCACATGTTAAAGTTCTGTGCATGTGATGGGAAGAGCTGCCGAGCTAACGTTACAACCCTCGCAGAGTCTTTATTTTGCTGATCAACTGCGAGAATTGTAACATAAACTTTGAATCTCTATGAATATTGGCCCTTGGATTGCTATATCGACCCTGAAGTCGATTCACCTGATTGTTCAATAATTACTCATGTTGCTTCTCTCTAGGCCTCACGAATTGCACAAGCGGCTCTTAGTATGGAAACATTAAAATCTTCACCCGGAAGTGCACTAACAGTTGACGTACCTGCTTTACAGGTGTGTGAATGCTTTTTCAATGGACGAGTGTGACCACCTTGTTCTGATTTGGAATTGCTAAGTTGAATAGGCTAGGCGCATTTGCAAATCTTAGGGTTTAGGAGTTGAGTTTTGTACTTTTGAGTTACATATGCTTGTTACGCTTCAGGCTGTAAAAATCAATCTGGAACATGAGAAATTGAGTGGCGAAGCCACGGTGCAAGAAGCTGTGACAGAGGTAGCCGCCATCATTGGCGAGAACGTGCAGCTTCGAAGGGGTTTTCTCATGTCGTCCACCACAGGCATTGTGTCTTCCTACTTACACGCATCTGCACATCCAGGTTTGTCGTTAACGCTTCCACCAGCCACGACTGTACGAGTAGTAATGTAGCTGTTTGTGGGCAGGGTTTTATGCAGCAGGAATGTTGTTAGTTTGGCACTTAAAAAATAATATCTCTGCCTTGCTTTGGTTTGTTTATGGATAACAAGAGGGATTTTAACTTCAATCTCTGGTACTAAGACGAAGATCTAGTTTGAAAATATGGTGAAATTTAAATTTTCCCATAATATCAGCATGGGTTCGTTTCAGGTGAGGTGGTCATTTAAATGTGATTTTTCTTGTTATCCGCAGTTGTTCTCGGTGTATAGTTGACATATTCTCGGAAGTTGATTATTTATTTCGTGATAGGGCTTGCAAGGATTGTGGGCCTAATCGCTCTTGAACCAGACCATGGCATTTTGCAAGGTCAGGAGCCTGAGGCACAGATTGGAACAGCTTTGGCCATGCATGTTGTGGCAGCTAAACCACTCTTTTTGTCTAGGGAGCTTGTACCTCAAACTGTTATCCGTCGTGAGACGATTGCTTTTCGGTCTCAGGTAGCACTTGTGTTCCTTTCGCAAAACAGAGGTTCCTCTTTGAGTATTCATGACTTTATGGAGGCTTTTGTAGTTGATACAACACGAAAACCTCCAAGTGCATGATATTGCAGATAATTCAGCTCGGATAAGTCTTCTTCGGTCATTACTTCCTAGGTAACACACTGTGGGAGGAGGAATTATCCATATTTCTCCCTATGTTGAATTGGGTGAAATAAAATACCTTTGGCATGTGCACCTGCTCTTGATCCGCCAGAAGTTCATCCAGTGACTATTTCTTTTTTTCTTTTTGGATTGTATTTGAACAACTCTCACTGGTGCAAGTTTTTGCAGGCTTTAATTTCGGGAAAAAAACCCGCCGTGGTAGAAAGGATGGTGCTGGGCCGATTTCGCAGATATTTTGAAGAGACGGTTTTGTTGGACCAAAAGTTTGTAATTAATGACTACATAAATGTTCAGGTAACATCTCATTCTTTATTTGAACTTTTCTGTTGTTTATTGTATATGTTAATCCATTGCTGCCTGTAAGCTGGCTCGTTCAGAGCACGACTTTACCAGGATGCTGTAGATTGCTTGGAAAGGAATTTCATTGTAACTAGAGGTAATCAAACTAGAAAACAGTTCACTTGTAGTTTCTGTATCTCGTACATCTGCTGTCAATCAAGTAGATTTCTCAAGGAAGTTTTGGAGAATTCCTCCTCAAAATACGATTCAAAATGAGAATACGAGTATTCGATACTGAATGTGATTATTGTGTCACAGACTGTTCTTGACGACCACCACAAACAAACCGGAAGACGTATTAAGATCAGAAATTTTTTAAGGTTGGAGGTTGGTGAAGGACTGTAATGAAGGTAAGAATATGTCTAGCCTGGTGCTGATGTGGTGATTTATTAAAGTAGGTTGGAATTTCTCTTTCGGTTGTCATGGTTTGCAAGAGAATAGCTGAGGGTTATAGTCTATTGCTTTAGTTGCAAACTAGATCTGTTCATCATAGTTTGTGGTTCTATTTTTCGGAACATGTGACTTGTATTTGACTTGGCGCCATCCGTGGTCACACAAGGAAGTATAACGAAGAGGCAGGAATATGAATCAACATAAGACTGAGATGACTATCTGAGATCCCTGCGGCTTTCATTTTTGAGAGTTCAGTATCTTCTGGCTGCGAGAAGTATCAAAGCATCAGCGGTCTAGGACCATTATTCTGTATAGAGTTTGAAGAGTTCAACCGAGTTGACTTCACTCTAGAGCTGCTTCACTGCGGAATTGGTATTGTAGTCATTTCATGAAAGTTGTTCATCACAGTATGATAATTTATATGCTCACATAAAATTTTAGATTTGACAGTGAAGTCGTTGAAAATATACTGCGTGTTGTCCATAGCCACTACATGCTCGACAGTTTGTTAGAAAGTAATTGTTACATTTATATACTGAGATCATGTCCTTTCATCATTCAGGTTGTCATCAACCTCTGTAATACACATCTTATGAGAATAATAAAAGATGATTATTATTCTTCTTCTCTTCTTTTAACATGGTATCAAAGCATTGGATATTATCCTATGTTATGATTAATTCAATAATTAGAAGCAAGTACAAACGTCCAAATCATATATTGATTATTTGTCCAATGACAAATTAATCAATTATGGCTTCTTCAAATTCAACAGGTATTGTGCAAATTAAATTGAATATGGTAAAATTACGAATGTACAAGAAGTTTTACACGTACCAATTTTATCTAAAAATTTATCGTCTATCCGTTCAGCCATTTTTTAATGTAAAAATATTAAAACAAATTCTAGAGATGGAAAAGATCTTGTAATAAGAATTAATTAAGTCGGAAATCTCTTCCCATTAGAGGTTGAAAATCCTAACTTAAAATAATGAAATTTACTTGTAATAAGTAAAACATCTAAAACAAACTATTACATGGCATTATTACTTAGAACATGTTAATCAACACACATTGAAAGAAATGAGTTAGCTTGATATGAATATACTAGTAAATATATCACATCTTTTCTTGTGAGAAAGTTGTTTAGTCATCAAACAACATAATTCTTTTTTCAAAGTTAAAACTCTACATGCTTCAAAACCACTTGAGTTGGTCCACACCAATGTATTTGGTCTCATGCAAACTAAATCTATTAAAGATTTTACTTATTTTGTTATCTATATTGATGATTATTTAAGATTCACAACAATATATTTCTTAAAGCATAAATCCAAGGTATTTCAAGCTTATAAAGTTATGCCAAGAATCAAACAAATCATAAAATTAAGATTTTATACTCCAACAATGGAGAATACATATAAAAAGAATTTGATAATATTTTTTTGTTCAATATGGAATAATACTATATTCTATACACCAAAAAACAATGGTATTAGTAAGAAAAGAATAGAATTTTATTAAGGTCCTCTAGATTTATATTGCAAACATTTAGATTATCCAATTTGTTTTGGGCAAATGCCTTAGCCACAACTTATTAAATATAAAATAAAAACTTTTTAAAGGCATTAGAAGCTTCAATGACTCCTTTGATATTATGGAATGGTAAAATACCTCATTTAAGTTATTTAAAGATCTTTGGATGTATAATATATATATATATATATATATATATATATATTCCTAATAAGTACTAATACAAACTTGATATGAAAAATAATAATATTTTTTTTTTTTGGCTATGGTAAATTATAAGGTATAAAAGATTATCTTTTATATGATAGAAATACAAAGAAAATATCGTGTTAGTCAAAATGTTATCCTTGATGAAATTACCTCACTAAAAGATTTATTTATTTAAAGAAAAAAATCAATAAAAATTAATAATAATGATAAATAAAGCTTTATTAAAAATTTAGTTAAAAAACAACTTGAAATAACCACTACACAAAATACTTTTTATTTATAATAATCCTAAAATAATATTTCTATTTTAATTGAACATTCTAATATTTATTCACAATCAATGTTATTTAATGATTTTATGCCTTCTTATGACAATAATGTTTAAAAAGTTTAAAGTGAATTATAATATAGACAAATATTTTTTTAAGTTATTAATTACCACAAAAACTCCTTTATTAAACAATAATGATATAATTATTAATATTGGTTCAAGTAATTTGAGGTCTTCATTACCTACTCTACCAAGAAGGTTCACAAGATCAACAAAAGTAAATTACAAGATGAATATTATGATTATGTTTTTTTTTACAAATTATTTTTTTTACTTTACATAATCTTGATGAATCTTCTATAATTATAAAAGCTTTACATGATGAAGATGTTATCAAGTGGAAAGAAGAATTTAGATTTTAAATATAATTCTTTAATTAAAAATAATACATAGAATTTGGAGGATTTTCCTCCAAGGCACTCTATAATTTGTAAATGGATTTTGAAAAGAAAATATAATGCTGATAGAATAATCACCTATTATAAAGCTTAATTGGTTACTATGGATTTTTCATAAGAAAAGGATATTCACTATGCAAATATTTTTTTTCCTATAGTAAAAATAATCTTATTACATATTTAATTATTTGTAGCCACAACATATGATCTACATGTTCATCAAATGGATATTAAAACTATGTTTCTTTATGGTTACTTGAATGAGAAAATTTATATGGCTCAACTAAAGGGTTATATTGACCCTTGCTTTCTACATAAAGATTATAAGTTATTAAATATATATATATATATATATATATAAATAATATTTTTTATTTGATATAAAAAATTTAACCATTATCTCATTGAAAATATTTTTTCTTGTAGTGAAGTAGACTCTAATATATATATATATATATATATATATATATATATATTAACTCCCAAAACTAATTCAATCAACAAAAAAATAAATTTTGAGAAACTATATCTAAAAGAATATTGATCTTTTTCCCAAATTTCAAATTTTATAAGATATACAACCAAACTCACTATCATCCTTCCAAATTTCAGCTTAATAACTATAGTAACAAGAGAGAAATTGTATTTTTAATGAACTTAGGTTTATTGACTCAGATTTATAACCTTCATCTATATGCAAATCAATAATTTGTCTACCTCTTCTAAGAAACTAAAACAACTTGGATATGATTGGGCATGCTATCATAGAGTTTTTGACGTTGCTTAGAAGTGATGGAATTAAAAGAAGATTGCACATTCTCCCACAATTGAAGTATTATTTTGGCTAGTACTAAGTACTCAATTAATTTCCATTTCACAAGTGCCCACATATACTCAATTGGATGTAAGTTAGGAAATTAAGAAAGATAAGTAAGTACATCAAATTTTTACATTGATAACCATTGTTTGATTGATTTTGCAATATGTTGAGGAACATTATCATATTCAAATATGATACAAAAAGAATTGAAATAATACCATTTAATTATCTTCACAAGCTCATCTTGAAAAATGTTAAGATACAAATCTCGTTTCATCTTTCCTTCTATCTTGTACATGTAATCCATGTCATGGGAAGTTATAAAATCTCACAAAAAAATTGCACCACCTCTATGTTTAATTGTCTAATTTACATGACACACTTGTAATTTAAATTTTTCTATGTTTAACCAAACAACAAGTGCCACCGACAGAATAAAATTGATTGATTTTAGCTTTTTCATAAAAAATTGCCTTATATCAATCATAGACAATCCAATCTTGATGAAGTTGAGTAAATTCCTATCTACAATGCACATTCTTAGCCATTAGCACCAGCTTCTTTTGTTTCTCAAATGACCCATGACTTGATTTATGAAGTGTAAGCCTCATTTTTTTTGGTTTTCACTACTACATTCAAGTATTTACTTAAAGCATTTTTCACATCTATAAAATTATCTAATCCATCAACTGTAATAATTCTTATGCATATTTGTCTTTGAATAATGATGATGCTTCTTGGGCGTGCTCTTCTTCAAGGCTCTAAATGAGGAACATACTCTCTACAAATCCTAAAGCATGTAGATTGAAAGATATTTAATAATTTTGATCTTTTACATACATTACATCAATGCTGCAACAAGACTAGCATTTAATATCTTTTCTTTTAGAATGCTCTCATGAACAAAAAAAACCTTTATAACCATAAGAAAAAATGTCCTAAGAGACTACACTACTATTCAAAAGTAAGAAGAAGAACCCTAAAAAATAATGTGAACTCATTCTTGTAATTAAAGGTTATTAATGAAAACAATTCCAAAATTGAATCAATAGACCTAAGCTTATTTGAAATTTAAAAAATCTCTTTTTTCTGTAGTTCTTAAGCTAAAATTTGAAATGTTCATAACAAGCATGATTGCACATCTCATGAAATTTGTGATTTGATAAAAACATTAATATTCTTTTAAATATGGCTTTTCAAAATTTGTTGTTTTTTTTTATTGACTTTATTTTGAGAGATAATATATATTAAAAGAAAGATAGTATATCAAAAAAAATTCATATTGGCATTACAAGTGGAAAACTCTATTATTATTGATAATAATATATAATTCTTAAATATGACTAAAATACTTTTAGCAAGTGGCTTAGAAATGACCAACAAAATATCTATTGAAAGATGAGATGGTTGCTTAAATGTGATGGTTGAATGCAATAAAATTAACAAATATATTGATTTGTCACAAACCAAATATATAACTAAAATTATTATAATATTTAATATGTATGATTTTAAATTTATCTCAATCCTTCTTAAAGTTAGATTAAAATTAATTAAAGATATGAGTCTAATTGATCTTAAAGATGTAAAGATAATAATAGATGTTCCATATTCAATTGCCTTAGAGTACTTAATGCATGCTATGACTCATACTAGGCCTAATATTGTTTTTTTTATTAATAAAGTTGCTAAGTATAAAGCAAATTTAAGTCAAGCACATTGGTTTGCAATAAAATGTATGATGAGGTATCATAAAGATATTTTAAATTACAGAACTATTTATCAAAGTGAACAAAGTTCTATTGATTATTAATATCAACGTTGGAATGACAATAATTGGATAAGTGATGAAGATTCTTAAAGACTTACTTTTGATTATGTATTTATATTAGCCAATGGAGTTATTTCTTTGCAAAACCAGAAACAAACTACTATAATATTATCTTTTACTAAAGAAAAATATACAGCTTGTGCTTCAGCCACCAAATAAGCTATTTGGATTAAACAATTAATGAATGACATATGCTATTACCAATTGAATGTTTTGTTTTTATATTATGATAATCAATCTATAATTTCTTCATCTAAAATATATTTCCATTATAATCAATCAATATATATATATATATATATATATATATTAATATCAAATATTATTATTTAAAAAAATAACTTAAATATAGAAAAATTTGTATGTTATTTTTTTCAAGTTAAGATATGGTAGCAGACGCTTTGATATAAGCTTTACTTAGACCCAAAAGTTTAAAATTTCGAAAATAAGTAGATATCAAAATGTAAACAAGTAAATAATCTAAATATAGATAAATTTTAATACTAAAAAATAAATATTACATTTAGATATTGAAATCATGTCCTTTTATATCATGTATATTCATATTTATGTCATTTTCATCTATATCCTGCTCAATCAAAAGTTTTTCATTAATAGACACAGTTCTAGATTAAATACCTATTGATTTTTTTATTCTCCTATGACAAGATAGAATAAATTATTATTTTTCTTTCACTCTAATATATTCCAAAGGAAAATAGAATATTGTATCAAAAAGAAGCTCAAACTTCAATTTATATGGTTTAATTCAATTATTGAGTTTAGGAAGAGTATTATAATAATAAAGTATATTATACCAAGACATTAGAAAATAAATGTGGAACAAATCCTAAATAGAGCTATAAAGTAATGAAATAGAGAATGTACATATTACTTCTTTTGTAGTAAGTAGATACATTGGTCCTTTGAAGAGGTTTTTAACACAATAAATATCTTTTGGGTAGATAATTATAGCTTAATGAGATTTTAGGTGAATGTCAATTCAAGACAATTGAAAATTCTATCATAAATATAAAACGACAGAGGTGACAATAAGAATCAAATATAAGGTTTCTTTAAAAGTTATTAGAGTTATTTTAAAATCAAAACCAATAAAAAAAAAAAAAAAAAAAAAAAAAAAAAAATCTTTTGGTGTTTATTTCTTATATGGGCCAATGAGTGATTTAACCTTTGATAATTTATCATACTCTTTGATTATTAAAGAAGAATTCATAACATAATTTGCTAAACTTGTTAAAAAGCTACTTCAAAGAAATAGCTCTACTACTACTTTAGTAGCCAGTGAATGGGATATTTTAATCGGCCAAGACTTTACATTTAATTAAAAAGATAATAGATTTTAATCCTTGTTCTTGCAAAGAGGCTCTATTCAAAGACACAAAGGTGTAGCCATTAATATTACAAGGAAAAAAATTAGTCCTAATATCAATATTTATTGTGCTATACATCAATCCTAAACACCTAAATCTATTCTCTATTGTTTTTGGAATTGGCATCAAGCACATTATATTTGAAATTGTACTACTTTTATTTTATACAAACTAATATTTAATTCTTAGAATTGGATTTTTTAGAAATCTTGCATTTGATAATAAGCTATAGCTGTCAAAAATCTTCTTTTTAGATTCAATTTTCTTTTTAGATCTTTTTTTTGTTAAAAATATTTATTTGTTGATTATTTGGATTCGAATATATATATATATATATATATATATATATTTTTAAAAAATAGAATATATTCTATATTAAAAACATTATTTAGCGGGATTTTATCAAATATGGACAAATTTGTTGAAAATTTATCAAAAAACAATTAACAAAACATCTACAATACAAATTTATTTTACTCAAGAGATGGAATAACTTCTTACTGGCTAAAAACATACTTGATTATAGTTGTGACAAAGTAATTAAGTAGAACTCTAAAACACCTCAATGTGGTGTGATCATACACAAAAGTGTAAATGAGCTTGTCTTAGACGTTGCTCTATATGTTGAGTAACTTCAGCTGTGCCTCCAAGTACAGAAAACTTTATAGTCAAGTATATTTTTTAAAATTAATAAATGCATTGGATAAACCTTATTTATGTGTTAAAATAAAATTAAAAATTATATTTATTTATATTTGTATTTATATATCTATATCATTATAAATATATTTATATACTATATAACATATATAATATATGTCTTATAATGACTTTTAATATATAAATATATCATTTTAATTTAATTTAAGTTTTTTAATATATATATTATGAGACCTATACTTCTAATCTAAAACAATCTAGGTTAAATTAGACATATGAACTTATTTATTTTATTTCTTTAAGGAATTTTCTAATCTCTCAAATAAAAAAAATTATAGTATTCTAATAACCAAATTGTAGCATATTAACTTATTTTTTGCTTATTAATATAATTACTCTCAACTTATGTTAGAATCTTATAAACCTTTATTGCTTAGTTTGATTATTTAAGCTTTGTTGAATTGATTTTTTTAATAAAAATAAAGAAATAAAACATCTAATACAATAGTAGGATATTTTATTGATGAAGGGATAATATACACTTAAAACTTGATTCAGTTAATGTTTTAGAACAACTTTGTATCTATATGTACATGTTCTTTTATTTGGCTTAACTTGGACAATGGATTATGACAATATTAAACAATGGTACAAAATTGACAATTTTTTACTTGTAAGGTCCTAAAAGTTCAATACCAATACACAAAAGTAATATATCTCAATTTATATAAAATTTAAAATAGTTGGTTTATTGTTCATTTTCTGTAGAAACATTATAACCACTAAAATTACTATGATTTTACAACTTCAAGTATTATAAGTATTTAACAATAAAATTAAATAGGGAATTTATCCTTAAAATTAAAATTCTTTCTACATCATGACTATTTTTTATGCAATTTTCTGTAAAACAATATTTAATCATTGAAATATCTGAATCAATAAATCAAAAATTATTATCAAGAAGATGCAAGTTATTTATAAATCAGTTCCTTATAATGTTTTAGCTTGGCACTTAAATTATAAAAATAATGTTTTTTCTTATATTTGATATTATTAATAAATTGATTAATTACTTCCATTATTGTTAAATTATTGCACTGTATCACACAACTATCTTTAGTTTAACACTTTGGGTTGTGAACATGAATTAAAAAGCTTTCAACATTATCCATCATATTTTCATTACAAGGAGTGTCTTAAATTTCTTTGATTTCAAATTTTTCAATTTTTTTGCATTAACATCTAGGAAATTCAAAAACTTAAATAAATTAATTAAATAAAACTCTTGAAAAAATAATTTTTAAAATTCTGCAATATTTCAAAATTAAAGAACCTTCAATTAGGTTTTAATGATTATGCATGCTGAAATGATTCTGTGCAAAATTTACAGTTTTCTTTACAAATCATTAAAACTGTAAAGACCATCAAAATTCTCAATTGAATAATCATGCAATTTATGTATGCATGTGAATATATATACATATATATATATATATATATATATATATATAACAGAGACAGATTATATTGTCTAAAATACTATTAATAAATGCAATCGTTAATATTATAAATATATATATATATATATATATATATGTTTTGATTATTTTTCCTTTTGATCAATTTTCATCAAATCAAAATTAAAAAACAAAAATAGAAGTAAGAATTCAAAATTCAAAAAACCTTTAATCATGCAAGATGCAATAGCATCAATGTCATCAAAGATGAAACAAATGTGGGAAAAAAAAGATGCAACATGGTCACACTACAAAATGAAACACTTCCCAATAAATCATTTTATGCCAATTCCACAAAATATTGAACATGAGGAGGGTGCACAAGCAACAAATAGCATTGCAAGTCCTCAACCTTTGAACACTCATCAACATGACTCTTTCATTGAAGGCATATTACATTTTGAAGGCAATCCACTTCCCGATCAAGCTTTGCATAAAAGTTCAATGGCTAGTCATGCCCATTATTCTAAAACACATCTCTTAAGCACCAAACAACTTCTTGGTTTGACCTTTTTTGCGGTATCGGGGGTAAATTTCAAACACCAAGTCACTTTCCCATTTCATATTTTGAGATTGTAAAATATTCATCTTATTGTGTTTTTACTTCTTTTATAAATTGAATTGAATTTTATATTTATATTTATGGATATATATATATATATATATATAGAAAGAGAGAGACACACACACAATATTTTTGTATTGGATTTTAAAGTAGAAATGTGGGATTATATAGGGCCCTTTTGGCTTACAAGCACCTATGGCTCTTGGCGGACCCATGTTAATGCTAATAGGGTTTTGGTTCATTCCATTTATTTGGTGTATTCCTATGGCAATAATGACGGCTGAAATGGCTTGTATGATTCCCGAGAGTGGAGGTCATGTTTTGTGGGTGTATCGTGCTTTTGGACCATTTTGGTCATATGTGAATGGCTTCTTTGCTTTTGCATGTAGTGTTTTAGACAATGCATTGTACCCTTCTCTCTTTGTGGAATATTTGTTGGCATTAATGCCCACAACACCAAATGGTTTGCCACCATTGAATTATGGTTGGAGCGTATTTATTAAAATGTTGGTAGTGATGCTTGTCACCATTATCAACATACTTGGAATTGATGTTGTTGGTAAGTATATCATATTTGAATAAACATTTTACTTTATAAATCAATAAGTTTTTTTCTTTTTTGTAATATTTTTTAAAAGAATACTGTATATAGCTGAAAATACCAATAGTAATAATAGTAAATAGTAAACATCAATGTACTCAAAAAAATTATTTAGATTGTACAAAATTCAAAATTCAAAATTCAAAAAAAAAAAAAAAAAAAAAGTTGAAACATTGAATGTAAAATTTTAATGTGAACTGATTTCAGGAAATGTTTCACTAGTCCTTGCATTTATGGTAGTGGCACCATTTGTGATAATGTGCATTGCTGGTTTGAAGCACATTAATTATTCTTGGGTAGAAGATTCTATCTCCAATGAAGTAAACCGTGGACATTTTTTAGCCACTCTATTGTGGAACACTTCAGGGTTCTCCTACAACTTCATGCACTTGCTTAATCTCATCAAACTGTTTAATTATGTCTAATCCATCAATTATAAGTTGCATTGTCTTGTAGATGATTCTTAATCCCCTACCATCACAATCTAAATTCTCTGCTTTCTAAGAAATAAAATTATAATCCAAATCACATGTGTATATATATATATATATATATATATAATTTTTGAATAAAATCTTGAATTCTGTGCAAATGAACTAATGATGGAGAAAAACTGTGTGTAGAATTGATGTTATAGGAACATGTGCTTCAGAGGTTTTAACTCCAAGCACTTCATATCCCAAAGCCATGAAATTTAGTTTATTACTTCTAACTGGGGTGTTTACAATACCAACATTAATTGGGGTGAGCATTGTTCCGAAGCAACAAAATTGGAACATGGGAACTTATTTCCAGGTGGCAAAAGTTGTGGGTGGCAAATATCTTGAGGTTTCAAATTATCCAATTTCGCATAATGGTGTGATTTTCAAATTTCTTGCAATTGTATTACACAATGTTTACAATATTACAACAATATCTTTTAATAAAATGATAGTAATATGATGATAGACATGGAAACTAGTATTATTATTTTGATTTGAGTATCATTGTATATGTATATATATATATATATATATATATATCTAATACACTTCAACAAAAAATCTGTATGCATAATTCTAGGGCTGGATGGGATTCGCTGCACTATTTAGTGTTTTGGGTCTTCTATTAACTCGACTATGTACAAATTCTCGCATCTTATATGGAATGGCTCAAGTTCAACAGGTATTTACATTTGAATAGAGCAGATGATAAGCTGTGATCTCGATTTTTTCAAAGGAATGTTCTTTCTCAAATTATCAACTGTAGTTTTTCTTTTAAAAAAATGAAAAAGAAAAAAGAAAAAGAAAAAAAGTGATATGTGTATATATATATATATATATATATAGTATTTTTTAAATTTTTATTTTTTTGGATATAAAGAAAAGATATGAAATATCATATAAATAATAAAGTGCTAATTTCATTATATTTGGAATGTATCATATGAAGATGCCAATTTCTTTCACACTTCTTCATCCAAAATTTGCAACACCATGGATGGCAATTTTAACTAGCTCTCTATGTACAATTTTCTTCAATTTTTTCAATGTTTATCACCTTTCAGAGGTGAGGCTTGCAATATTATTCACACAAAGTTTTACAATTTTATCGTACTTTACTTCTTTTTTTCTGTTTTCTTTTTGAGGAGGTATTTTAAGACGTTATGATGTAGATTTAAATTTTTAAAAAATATATGTGCAATAAAGTTTTTCTATATTGAGTGGTAGGCAAACATGTTGTTTTATGCCCTTTCAACATTTTTGAAGTTTGGAGCTCTAGTACAATTACGTTATATTGAACCAGATGTGTTACGACCATTTCAAATTCCACTTGACAAAGAACTACTCATAAGTAAATTCATTAATTCACTGATTTGTAATATATATATATATATATATATATATATATAACTGTATTCTTACATAAAATGCATTTGTATACTTTTTCACAGAGCTTATTTTTCTTTTGTGACAAGTTATCAATTGCATTATAATTGTGCTTCTAAGAAAAGTATAAAACTAGATACTTGAAAACACTCTCCTTCATCTTTTATTTTTATCCATTATTGAATTACTTATTTATTTTCAAAATAATTTTAAAATATATGTATATAGATGTCTAGTTGTATTAAAAAAAAAAGTAACACCTGTCTAAATATTATACTTTAACGAACAAATGCCTAATTTCAAGATACCCGATGAAACAAAAAAAAGAAAAAAAAAAAAAAAAAAAAACTGATTGTGTTATAATAAAAATGTTTTGAAAGCAGTAATCTCATGCCTTCCAATATCAATGTGTGTTATAATGTTGTTTTATGCCCCTGCACGTAGCCAGGGCATTGCCCTAATAGGTAAAGTTCAATCCAATTATTACATTATATATATATATATATATATATATATGTATCACATAGAATATATTATTATGCACTGATTATACTCAAATGAATTTGTTTTTAACAAGTGTGAATGATTTTCTTCCTTTAGGAACTACCATGGCTGTATTTAGTTACATATTTAAAGAATTTAGTGATCAACGTGGGATTAAAGAAGTCACAAAGAATCGATTAGCAAGCATTCAAAAAAACTTGGGGAAGATGCAAGCAAGAATTGATTTCGTAATTGATAGTGAATTAAAAACATTACAAAACCTAAGTTCATATGTTCGTTCACATCATACCACTTCTCAAACACATGCATGATCCTTAAAAAATAATATTTTAAATAATTAGATTGTTGTACAACATCCTTACCAATACTTGTATAAATTGATACAATCTTGGATTGGATATTTATTGGAGATGATCAAGTTTTATGTGATGAAAATATTCAGACCATCATTCAAGCATGACATTAAATCTAATAATCATTTATTTATGTCTATATGAGACAACATCCCAGATTAAACAGAATCATGCTTCAACATGATTTTGTTCCTAAAATACTAAAAAAATTAGAATGCTCTTGAATGTGGAAGGTTCTGGATTTAGATTTAGTTTCATATATTCTTTGCAATCTTTCCTTACGTATGTCAGCCATGCATGAAATAGGGGTGTGTTTTCAGGCTCACGGGAATCATATCGAACATGGTAAGATAAATTAGAAGGGCACTTCATTACTGCCAACAGGGTCAGTTGTGTAATTAAAAGTCCTCGATGAACTTCAAATCTGGTAATCTCAGCATTATTACTATTATCACTAAGCACATACATCAAGATGCTACAAACTAAACCCCAAAAGTGTACCAAAGTTTTGCATCAATTAAAATTAGCAACCCATAACAAGATTTCCATGCACTTGGGTACTAAAGGATTTTTTTAAAAAAACCCTTCCTAATCGGATTCTGTTCCAAATGATATATTTCTATTTGGTTTTTTTCCTTATTGCGATAGCAATGAAACCAATCTCTTTCACCAGAAATAGCAAGGACTTTTGAGGTTCTCAACATCATACACGGTCAGTTAGTGGAGTCCAAACAAATTTCTATGCATCATTGTGCTCCATGCCTAAACTTAGCCATCACTATCACAATCCACTATTCCATAATTAGCTATGACAAGAACAAGCTCAACATGCGATCTTTGTCAACGTTCCATATTGAGCTTTGACGACGCTAACCTCCGACGAAGTCAACTTTACTAAATCCTGAAATTTTCTACAGAAGAAAACCTAAATTTGTACATCCACAGACAGAAACCCTCAACTAACAATAAGAATACAGTAAAATCAGATAGCTACTCTGCTTGCTGCAGCGTTCCGCTTCATCTCTGCTGCTGCTCCTTCACCTCTGAAGTATTGAACTACACCCTGTAAAACGAAATAATAAACCGCAAATGAATCAGGAAAAGGCTACTGGCAAGATAGCAGTGGTCGGTGTTTAGAATGCAGAATCAAAGAAAAAGTAATTGTAAACTATGTAATACTTATAGAACTTCAACTGGGTATCAGAATCCAGCCTGAAAACGTGAAAATCCCTCAAATCTTTAATTTATTTTCAATGCCGAAGCGCATGAAACACAAGGTCACAAATTATTGCTTTACATAAGTAGTTCTTACCTTCAGAACCCAGATGCTGAGGAGCGACTCAAGTGTGAATAAGGCAAAGCCGACCACGTAAAAGATCTGAAAAAAAAAAAAAATGATAATAATTAATTAATTAAATTCATAGGTAATCATTATGTTTTGAAACAATGAGATCCAAGGTGCTACGATCACAACCTAAAAAACAGATAGTGAACATGAAACAAAAAAATTCATCCAGAAAGGACACACGTACACCAATAATTATATTCGAGGAGAAAATATCGATAGCTGTTATGATTCCCCTGCATTGCCCAACAACTTTGTAATTAGTTCAAATGACTTCGACTTTGACAAACACCTAAGGTAGGTTTCCATGTTTTGGCTTGAAAAAAAGATAAAAAAAATATATATATATATATATATATCAAAGACACACAAAAAGAAAAGAAAAGAAAAAAAAAAAAAAAAAAAAAAAAAAGCATCAGCAAGAATCTATATGATGATAAAAAAAGATTCGTGATTGATTTACAATCCACAATGTGTTTAACTGTCAAAGAGTTTGGACGGCCTTAAAGATACTTACGCAAGCGACTTTCCTTTGAAGATGAAAGGAGGAGCAACAGCGGCATACACACAGAATGCGATATGGAGCTTCACAAAGCAAAAACACCAATGAAACAACATTAGATTCATGAATACGTAACTCCTATTCAGATTACTCGAATCTTGTCATGAGGTCCCCGAAGCTGATGATGAAATTTTTTGAACATAATGCAAATCAAGTTTCCAAAGCTAGACAACATAATGACTAAGAAATAGTGGTGCCGTTATTTTGTGATAGGCACCACACAAAAGGTTAGGGCACCGACGTTCAATTACCAGATAGAACATCACAAACCACCCGAACCTCAGAACGCTATCAGACCTGTCCATGCCCAACAAAAATGGTGCAAATTAGACTCAATAAAACGAGCGAGTATGCCAGTGAAGAATTACAGAAGCATAAACATGTAATTCAATCACAACTGCTTAGTACCAGTTGCAAATACAGAGAATCAACTCAAATCGGTTACTTCCGCATTTACGACGTTGACTTGCTATGTCCCCAATATGACAAATAAAAGAGCATAAAATGGAAAGAGGTCAAACAGACTCATCCGCAAATATACCATAAATTGAAATTATGTTTTTAAGCAAGAAATTTAAGTGTACGTTGAAGCATTCCTACTCCATCATTCCTTCATATTCTACATATGGTTTTGAGGTGCAGCAAATTTAGTACCTCATTGCCCGGTAGAGGGGCTTATACCACAGAAAGTAGGACAGAACATAGCCAGACAGCATGTAAACAATACCGAGAAGAAAAATACTCACACCTGCCATCATGTAGTTGTCAGACCAGTGAAAAGTTTCACCTTATCTTGCTGAAGTGTATCTTACAAACCAGCTACCAAATCGTTAAGAAACAGAAGAGATCTGAAAAATTGATAATAAGGTGTGCCGCCTCTTACCACCAACACCCCCGATCCACGCTGCGGTCACGCAAATGAAGTTCCAAAATAGACAGAGTAGAATTCCTGGATAGAGCAGATGTTGCGGTGAGCATTTAACACGCATATCCGACAACATCAAGGGATGAACATTTTTGAATTGTCTACACAGTATCCCAATTAACTGCAACGTATAATTACCGTAATAAACTACACCACAAACACCTCTGACCTTAACCTCCTTTTCACCGTATTCCTAACTCTCACACTTCCGAGTTGATGCAGCACAATTGCAAAAATAGAAAAATAAAAAGAATGAAAGAAATAAAGAAAAAATACAAGAAAAAGAAAAAATCCCAATCGTCGACTACTATAAATAAACCAAGTTCACTTGTATCCTAGGGAGAAGAAAAAGACTCACCTAACCAACTTGCATAGGCCCAGCGCTGCAATCCTCGAGAATGCGCTGGGATATCATTCGCGATGTCATGATGGAGAATGTTGATGAAGGGGGGCCAATTCTTCTTCTCTATCCTAATACCAGCTGCAAATCCCAAAAATTAAAAGATTAAGTTCAAAGTATGAACATGTATCAATATATATATATAATCCTGATTACACACAAGTCTCTAAAGTGACCGGTTGAGTTCTATACTTCATTGTAATAAACAATAAAGAGATTTTGAACCAATGTAGAGATCTTGTTTTAGATCTGTTCTGATGATGTCATCGCCGTATTACAAACAGTTCCAGAAGTACCACTATAAAACAAAACCAACGGGTCATTCTGAGTGAGACTTCATAATGAATACCTCTTTCAGCAGCTTCCTCTCTGCGCTTCAAATCCTACAATCCCACAATAGAAGTTCAAAAGGTTACTTGAAGTTAGAACAACTCTGGACAAATTCTTATGAAGACTAACGATAGCGAATTTCAATAACCACTCCTCCATTGCCATCATACTTCATAGAAAGAGGAATTACACTAATCGAACTTTCGCATATGACTTGTGAAAAAATGTTGAGTGGATATTATTTTTTCTTTAACATGTATTCGCTTCATTAGTATAATCACAAACTCTTGGCAATGACGATACACCATATAGCGCACTATAAAACATCCTTCGAACTGGAATAAGCAGAATGCACGCATACTTGCTCCCTTCTTCTCAATTCTTCCTCTCTGGCTTTAAGCTCTTTTTCCTTCTTCTTCAAGTCCTGTTCAGATATAAAAAACCTGTTAACTCCAGCAACTAAAAGCAGCGGCGAAATAAACGAAATCTATGAAGTCTTTGAAAAAGTTTTATCACAATCACCTTTCCAGCACCCAGTGGAATATCCACCGTGGCGTCATCAACTCCTGAGAATGCCGGTTCATGCGGAAGAGGAGATAATCTAGAGTTCGACACCTGTAACAAAATTTCAGGTTCCTCTCGGAAAATGAGTTTGAGTTTACCAATACGCTTTCAATAGAGACATACATATCAATAGAGACATACATATCTTTCTAAGTATCTTAAGGAAAGAAGACGCTTACAACACTCAATAGACTCCAACTTAGCCAAGCACTATTTTCTCAAATCTTTAGGGTACGATAACCCATTTTTGGGAGACATCTCATACTCTGTTCAGCGTAAGTAATGGAAAGCAATGTTTCACTGAATTCCATTCGTAATCTAGCACGTAATTGGTCATCATCAAAGAAATAGGATTTCTACACGACCACTATACAGCCTCAATACGTGTGCCAGCTGATAGCTACTGAATGAGAGGAGGAAATTACAAAAGACATTAAAGTAACGAGCCTAATAAAAGTGGCCACCTTCATAAGCGCTTTTTTCGTAAAGGAGGAATCAGCAATTATATTCTCTTTGCTTAGAGCATGCTTCATCTAAATTTGCCGCTGCCAAATTACTACAATCCAATGATTCTGATAACACTCTACCCCTTAAGCATAGACATGAAAAGTCGCTTGTCAAACACTGTAAGAACAGAATTCAAAAACATGATATATATAATATAAAATATCGTGAACATAATGCGTGGCAGCTAATATCCCTCGTACTCCTTTTCAGTACACAGCCTTTGAGCCATGAATGACCGAATAGTGAAGCTGAGTACAGACATCATACCGGGTCATTAAAAAGGCCACCACCGCCATAGGACGGCTTCGTTGCCTGCGCCCGAACCACTGGATCCTGTGGCATTAATGCATTCCCACCAAATTCATAAGCTTGCTTCATTCATAATCCACGTCTATAAGTCATATTTCGGGAGTGCGGATGCGTTTCTGAACAGTATACAATCCTCTCAAGTTTGTTTTGATTTAAATATAATGTGCAGGAATTGGTCACAAGGTCTGCAGCGATAGCTTTTATTTGAGTAAAATCATCAAAGGAAAAAAGAGACGTGAGCAGTGCTACAATACAAAACCCTCTCTAGTACCGACAATCCTCAGAGACACGTTGTAGAGAACGGAAATAACAAAATTCATATTTATCCGCTAATTCGATCAGGAACTCGCACCCTTTTGAAATCAAGAAAAATAATTTATGACCAGATTATTCAAACCTAAAGAACCCCAGCTACAGTCAAACTTACAGAAAATGGATTCACTTCCTCCTCCTCTGGCTCGAAAGGATTTCTATCGTACCGCCCCGCCATCTCCAAGCCTCCTACAATTTCCCGTCTCCAGTGAGCGAACGACGAACACAAACAAACTCAATTAAGTGCGACTCAGCTAGCCAACCCCAAAAATACTCCCTCGCTTCCTCTTTTCACCACGATCAAATCCCACGGCTAACCCCAACCAAAAAAAAATAAAACAAACTCTTCTAACCCCTCTAAAAAATCTATACCGCAAACAAACCGACCAACGCAATGTCGTTCCTCCTCACCCGCTTCACTCCACAAACGAACCCACCAATCAGGCCGACACGATCTACGTCCTCAACTCGAACCCCAACACAAGCACCAACCTCAAATTCTTGCTGCAGCAGGTCAGCGAAACGAGAAACAAAGGGCTCAAAGGGGGGGCAGCGAAGGAGACGTGGAACACACAGTGAGACGACGCAAAAGACGCGAAGGAGTAGGCAAGCAGCAGGGAAGGTGCAAGCGCGGGCAGGCACAGCTTCTGTTGCAGGTGTCACAACACGAGGAAAGAAGGAGCATGGAAGGTGTGTCCCCACGCAGACTGCGACTACGACAACGAAGACGACGACGATGGCCCCGTCGTCTAATCGTGGCCTCCTCCCTCCCTCCATGTCTATCTGTCATCCGTCCCTCCCTCCGCGCACACTACCCGGTCCTCCTCTGTCCGCACCCCATCGCACGTCTTGCTCCGTTTGGAACTGCCTGCTCCCGAAGTCCTTGCGTCCTTGTTGACCGAGTGTTTGCGGGCCCACACTGCTCCTCCGCCATCGCCGAAGCCAAGCGAACCGCATCCAAGGCGACGCAACAAAGCAACCGCCGCAACAGCAGCTGCAGCAACGGTAGGGCTGGTGCGGAGGGAGGCTATAGTTAGCGGACCCTATGATTGCTGCTTGACCAGCACCACCTTGCGATGCGATGCGATGGCAAAGGATTTTGCTCGCGTTTGACTGGACTTGCTTGCAGTCACACACTTCGGTGTCTGCGACGAACGAGCCTTCGATTGTTTTGTTGCTCCTGGAGCGCGCGATCAGGGTTTGGGCTTTGGAGCGAGCGAGCGAGAGAGGTAGAGGGGCACGTCCATGGAAACCCGAATCGACTGGCTCGAGGGGCTCCTTTTGTTTCTTTTTTTTTCCCTTTGATTGCACACCAAAATCCCATGGAATTATATGATTAGTTCAAAATTGCGATACACTATTGGAGTTGGACTTGTCACATGTGTTGGGGTTTGTAATCAAACTATGTTGAATTAAGGAGGAGATTTTGACAAAAAAGTTCTTTCATTTGTTTGTATTTTAGATTGCTTTTAAAGTTATTTTTATATTTTATTATATGATTGATTTATGAATAGTTACTTGTTTAATATTTTTTTAAGGTATTGTGTTTTATAACTATTTTCTATAATGTTAAGTTTTTTTTCAACTAATTTAGTTTTTATATTTTATTAAAATATGATGTTGTTTTTAGAAATAATTTTTTTATTAGTTTCTTTAGTATAACATTTTGCAATAGAGAAAAAGTAAAGCAATCCAATGGAAATAAAGAGGAAAAAATTAGTTGGAGTTTCCACAACAAAGAAGTAGAGTATAACTATTGTTTTTAAAAGATTGGTTACAAATTGTGCAACAAATACTAATTTATTGACATAGTGGCTATAGATATTTACACACTTGGTGCTTTAACACAACTATATATATACACATGAAAATTAACATGCTTATATGAATACTGACAAATTTGTATGCCATTGAACATGATGATAGTACTTGGAAACTCTAACTTTTTATTTTATTTCATAGATTGCTTCTTTTACTTAACAACTTCAATATATATAATATATATATATATATATATATATATGTATTGAAGTCTGAATCAAAGATACTATACTTATATTGAAAAGAATTAATATTTGTTTTAAATAACAACAACTTTTACCATTTCAAGAATTCTTACATGTCAATCTAATGTTTTAAACAATTCTATAACTTTACAAATTGATTTCTTTATCACTAGCCCATTAGGATTAGTTTGATTTTAGAAATGACAAAAAAAATGTCAAATAATAAAAGAATTATAAAAAGATCATAATATGTATGTGTGAGTATCTATCTATCTATCTATATATATATATATATATATATATATAATATTTTTTTATGTATTGCAATTTATATGAAAACTAGTCAAAACACACATATTATTTGCAAATAGATGTAATATTTTTAGAATTTTAAATAAAATTTTATATTATTGGGATAATTAAATATAATATAAATACAAGAATTAAATGAATTAAGATTTTCTATTGTATGGAAAGTGTCATTAAATACTAGATAGATTATAATCTTATTTATTAAATATCAAACAACTACAAAATATTATAAATATTTAATGACAGTTAAATATACATGCACAATATTAAATTTTTATTGTACATAAAACTAACTTTAATATTTTGAATGACATACATTATGTGAAATAAAGTGTTTTTATGATTCAGTATACATGTTTAGTTGGCTTAGAATTGACATATCTACATGGCAAATTGTTGAAAACCAAACAAACTCTTGTAATATTTGTAATTTCAATTTATGATAAAACAGCCACTACCTTAACTTAAAAAATAAAAAAATAAAATAAATTTTAATAAAGTTGGTTTAAAAGAAATAGTTTATTTAAAATTTATAAGCAAAACAAATTATCTATCATACTCTTATTTTAATTTTTGAAATGATTGTAACTATGAAAGAATCATTTTAAAAAAATTATATATATATATATATATATATATATATATATATATATTAGATTTTACATAAAGTTTACATAAAGTAAAAAATCTTAAATTATATAGTATAAATTAAATTATACTTACTTATGTAATTGTTGATATAATATATTTTATGGAAAATATATATATATATATATATATATATATATAGATGCAACTTTAGATTGAAATAATGAACAATTTACAATTACTAATATAATCTTCAAAAACTAGAATTTTATTAATATATTATATTTAATTAGGTCTAATATTTCATTGCAAAATTTACCAAACAATATAAAAAGTCTAATATCTTTTGGCCATTATTTGATTCTTTTGAAAAAAGATGTAATAAAAATGACTATATAAGAAACTTAAAAACTCCATGTCCTATTTTTTATAAATTAAATAATTTATGATTTTTTTACATTTTAGTTCTATGTTTAGAAATAATATTAGATAAACATCCCTCTTTTACTATGTGGACACATCTCTTTTAAAAATGCAATTAATACTTATAAATTTATTATAGAATTTTTAAACAATAATATATATATATATATATATATATATAATCAATTGTCTTTTTGGACCAAAGTAATTTAATCAATAGTTTTTTTTTACAAATCTCTTAGGAAATAAAACCTATATATATATATATATATATTGAAGCCATACCTCTCTACCATCTCATGATTAGTTTAGTCCATTGCCCATATCTAGCCCCTTATCTCTCATTTCTATCCTTATTCCATGTTCCATGTCTCCCATCCTTGTTTTCTTATTTTCAACCCTTCTTCTCCCTCCATCCCTTTCCATCTCCTAATCCTCCCCCAATCTCTTGTTTTGGAATAAGAGAAAGGGACAAGCAAAAAACATTATATTCCACAACTTAATTTATATTAATTATATTTATCTCTATTCTATCAAAGTATTATAATATAATATTCAAAAATTAGAAACATATAAATTATTAAATCTTATTTCAAGAAAGTTTTATAAATAATGTTAAATCTTTTTTTTCATATTCACTTTATATTTGGTTTTATTTTAAGTTGTAAAGAATCCATATTCTTTCACATTTTAATCTGCCATTATTAAAATTAAATATCTGTTTTTTTAAAATATATATATATATATTTGAAAAATATAATAGATAATTATGTAAAAATATTTTTTAAAATAATTAAAAATGACTATAAAGGAGCTTGAAATATGTATTCCAATTCCCCTCCCTCCCTTCCAATCCCAAAACAAGCAAGTAGGGGGAACAAGAAGGAGCAAGGAACAAGGGATGGGAGACTTGAGACCAGGAATAAGGATAGAAATGGAGGACAAGGGACTAGGAACTTGGATTGGAGAGAAGGGATAGACAAAATCAATCATAAGATGGCAAAGGGGGTGCAACTTTAATAACTCCCTATATATTCATAATATATATTGGGCAAAGTTCTATACTTTTACTAAATAGATCCACTCTTGATTAAGAATATGATAATCATGATGAATAAGGTTGATTTTGATTGGTTGTAGATTCAATAATGAGGAAATTAATCTAGAAATCATTATTATTTTTCATGATGGTTAAGATTGGTTGATCAATTTAGTAAAAAAGTTGAGTCTATTTAACATTCATCTATCTATATTATAAGCCTTATTAGCTATTTTTTTATTGTTACTTATAACTTCTATAATTACTTTTGATTCCAATTAATTACAATTTAGATTATTTTCTAGAAATGTTTCTTGAAAAAAATAAAATTGTTGCCTTAATAAGACCAAATTATTAAAAAAAATGATAATAAAATAATTAGGTTCTAATTTAGTAGTTTTGTTGTATTCATTTTAAAAAGTCTAAAATCGATTTCTAGTATATCACACATAAACATACATTATCAATAAGGATCATCAATTATTTAAAGATGAAAGTACAAATAGGTTTTTAGATAGTATGTACTTCACATGTATTAGTTTTTTTTTTTTTTTTTTTAAATATAAATTTTAGAAATGCCAAAATTTATATTTTTTATGATTTATATTTTTCTTTATGGTTTTAAGATTTAAATTTATCACTATATTTAATACCAAGTATCAAAATAACTTTTAGGGTTAGATCATGCTTTCTATGTATTTCAACTTTTAATCAATTCCTTTAATATACAAAGCAATCTAAATAATATTCTTCATGCACAAAATTAATTATTTGTACATATATATATACACACACAATAATAACATGGTTAATTTTTGTTAAAAATTATAGCTAGAAGATTTTATGTTTAATATCTTTAGTTTTAGAATGTATATATATATATATATATATATATATAAAAATTGCCAAAAGAGATATTTTTTTTAATGTAATCCTTCTAAAGACTTTCAATTCAAGTTCTTTATCAAATGGTCATAATGTGGTTTTCGAACATAAATCTCAAACTGTATCGTTAATAATAAATTTCGTTTATTCAAATTTTACAAACAGTACAGAAATAAATGAACATTTTAATTACAATAGCAAGTACAATGCTAGATAAAATTTGTACTGTTGAGAACTTAGACTTCAAACACCATCTTGTTTGATGACCAACCCTGCTATTCTACTCTAAAGTACAAAAAATATTGGAATCGTTTTTGCATACTCCATATTCACTTTTTTTTTTTTTTTTTTTCAATAGAAGTAAATCTTGGAATTTCTTGTTTTTTAAGAAACCTGGTAATGTCTTAATATCTCTCATTTCCTAATTTTTTTAAGAATCACTTCTAGAACAACTTACACAATTCACTAATGTTCTTACCATTTAATTAACTTTCGTATGCTTGTTAGATAATACAACACATCATTTTAGAAAAACAGTGTTTTTAATTATAGTTTTAAATAACATTATAATGATTATTGATTCAAGTCCAAGTACATAATAGTCAAAAACTCCATAAATGCAGTACATGCAATTCTCACATTATCAACTATGAATTAATTTATCCACAGTAGAAGAATTGAGACTTATTTGTAACAGACATGTTATCAATTACAAATAAAAAAATTCTCTTGCAGTCGGTATACCTGCAGAGGAAACTATCCTGTGGGAGAATCCCTGAAACTATGCAACAGAACATTATGTATTGCTTGTGAAAGAAAGCAAAAATTCTGATGAGAAAACACATGAACTGGTATGAGAGTGCAACAAATGGCAATTAGCAGTAGGTGTGGAAGTTCATCTCAAGTTCAAATACCCATAGTTTGTACAAATACGGCATTGAAATTGCAAGGCGCGGTCAAATCTTGTCACTACATGCAGAAAGGAAGCAGGACAAAAGATACACAAAAAAATCATTTTGTACATAACATAATAGAAGTAAACAGACATAAGGGAAGAGACTAAAACAAGTGGTTGACATGAACTAAGCGCATTCTAACAAATCTGAAGTTGTTGCTACATGAAGTGAAGCATGAAAGGGCCAGGAATCCACTGAGTTGCTTATGAAAGCTTCGTGCATTAAATTGTCGGTGCAGCTTTAAAATTTGTAAAAATTACACGTGACTGCACAATGGGCAGTTGAATTCAATGCATGCTCCTCATCTGTAGACCCATCAAGCTGCCTTGGGAACCGCATTCTCTGAGGGTGGTTGAGCAAGAGTAATTGACCGGAGAAGTTCCAAAGCAAACACTAGCCCCAAAAAGTGCGACAACAGCGCATTGCCGGAAGCCTATTCAAATCCAAACACGACAGCACATCAGATCCACAAAACGAAATGAAACATGGATACGAATGGACATATTAGAATACAAGAAGCCAAGGGCATAATATCCATGTTTGAAACTTCAAATCCAATAAAAAGATTTTTATACGCTCTTACTTACTTGTACAAGAAAGACATCAAGGGCAAGAACTGGACTAAAGCCTTGAGTTGATCCTTGTAGATATGGAGCACTAGAGGAAGTAAGAGCTTTTGCAACTAGGACTCCCACAGTCGCTTGCAGGCCCAACAGTGACGATCCCAGACCAAGCAAATTGATAACAATTCCGTTCTTCAAATTCTTGACCACTTCTGCCCGCGGGGGTGCCTGTTAACGATGACATAACAACGTTAGAGCTGCGCAAGGTCTTACAGGAGGGAGCAATAATCAAGGGGGTGAAACATAAGCATAACTTGCTCTAAGGTACCTTAGTGGGATTATCAACTGCGTTTCGTAGTCGCTGAGATAGCCGAATGTATCCGAACGACCAGAACACAGATAAAAATGCTGCGGCGATGCCACCTGCAGTGAGGTAGGTTGAGACTGGAGCCGTGGCTTGACCAGTGATGACGACAGAGAATGCAAGAATTACAGCAGATACGACAGTGCAGACTAGCTGCCCCCAGAATCCCAGCTGCCCTAGCCTCTTGAAGTAGCCCGCCGTCCGTTCCAAACGCTTGGAGACCTACAAAATCACTGGCAAACTTGATGCTATGAATCGGTGGACAAAACCCATAAATTGTCAGAATTTCTCTACAGTAACTCAGCGTGGGCTAAGTAAGATTGAAATAAGAAGCGGATGTATGTAGTCACACAATGCTTTTCCGTGCTTTGAAATGTAAGGGTGTAAAAACTCGTTGATGTGTTCATATTCCTAATGTTCAAGTTACACAAGCTTCATAGGCTACTGTATTGTTTTGTCAACAGCACTCCGTGTAATACCAAATGCAGCAGAAACACAACCCCACAGAGAGAATCGCTCCAAGCTTTTCAAAGTTGTGCAAGGAGCGTATCCACACACACAAAAGTTCAACAAAATCCTCACCTGCGCCAGCGTGCTCGCCTCTCTTTCATTAACGAAAGCATCCTTGCTGTATGCGCCGCTCGCTCGCACCCTAGACCCGCCAACATGAGCTTTTGGTTGCACTTTCGACGCAAGCAGCCCACTGCGGACAGACAACCCAGAAAACAAAGAAGCTGAGGAGGAAAGCTCCGCTGCGGCAGCAGTAATGGCCTCACCCCCGACAGAGCGTCGCAGGGGCAGCTGTTGCGCAACAAGGGATCCAGCACCATGCCGAAACTGCGCTCCCAACGATGATGAAAAATTAGGGCTGCAAAGTCTGCCCTGCACACAGGATTTCAGCAATGCCGTCTGCATCGTGTAGCGCCTATGGGCTTTGTTGCGAATTCCTAAGCGAAACCTTCGTGTTGCTTCGATCTTCTTAAAATGTCTGAGATTCTAACCGTATTGCCGAAGTTTGTTAGCTGCGAACGAAAGATGCGCGGACTACAACCAAAACATGTGAAAATTGGACATCTCCTCACCACAATTGCGCAACTCACAGCTTTGTTTGTCGCAAGACAACTATGCAATCCTAACCAGTAACGACGACGAGGGGGCATCAGGATGAACAGACTCGACAGGAGTCGAACTGGATCTCTTCGGATGGCACGTGATTGACGTGAATTGCTAGCCCTTCTTCGCCACGAGATGCGATTCAGTGAGCACTAATGGAAAAAACACGAGGGGTCTCTGTACAGACCTGAAGGCCTTTCATCTCTTGTGAACAACGTTATAACCGAGGTTGGAGGATCGACCAATTAGAAACTTCCTCGCACCTAGGTTCCCACAGAATCGCAGACACAGACTACACGTTGGATACATGAGAAACTCGATTCAGAAGGGGTACTGTACATGATCAATAGGGCTGTCAAGCGTAGAAGAAGGCAACAAATGTGAAAAGAGAGTCATCAGCAATTTGCTGACGACCCCATTCGGAATAAGTTCAAGCGCTACGGGCCGCAGCAGATTATTAATATTACTACAAGAGGTGATAAATTGTCGAAGTGGTCCAGCGTTTGATAATGTATCTTTTCTGTTAATAGAATTTGGGCACTTCAAACCTGCTTCCAAGAGGCAATTTGTACACTCAAAACTTGAGTGAGATTTCATGATCACACAACTGTGTCTGCAGAATGTGCACTTTGAGTGCATGAGAACTAGCGTGCACGAATACTATAGTGCACAATTACTTCCAAGAACCCGGAAGTACATGTAGTTAACCCCCAGTGCGCCTGCAGTGACCAGTCAGATGCGGAACAGAACCAATGCAAACTCAGCTTGAGTTGTCAAATTCACACCACAGATGGAACAGTAGACCCGAATTCTGATGATAATCCAATCAAACATTTGATGATAGACCAATCATTTGATGACATCCGTTTCGTGCCCACACCAGTCGGATGAAGACATATATCATGACTCTCTCTTCCGCTTCCTTCACCTCGAATGGTCCGTTGCCAATGGTGCAACCAAGTAGAAGTCATACGCGTATCCGAAACACGCATGGGCCTTGCAGCAATAAACGTCCACCCTCACAACCCTTCATCTTTTCGTGCAATCAGAGCTGGGTAGCTTATCAGGATTGTTCACTGCTGTGGCAGTTACATCTGCGCCAAGGACTTCTTTACAGCCTGGTACAATAACAGAGGTCTCATCCACGAGGCCGGGCTGACCACAGAGAGCTCAGAGCACGAAGACGGGCAAAATAGTCGCCCATTGCAAGAAGACCTCTGGCAGCTTGGCGAGTGGTTAATATCCGGTGCATTTGCTGTAACGTCTGTTTTCGAAGACTGTCAGCCTGTCGAAACCGCCACAACAAACCGTCGAGTCCCACATTACTAATAGACAAAGTTCAAAAGTACTAAAAGCATGCTCTAGAGCTAGTACGGGTGAAGCAAAGTATCCCTACTGTTAATGTGCACAGGACAGTACAAAAGAATGACCCGGCACCTAACTTTGCAACAAGGCATACCTCAAGCACGAAAGTTTCAAGCGCCGCAAGTTCACTCATGGCCACAGCCATCTGTGTCATGTAATTAGCTACATTTGATGATGAGCCAAAAGAACCAGCAGAAAGGGTATCGGCAAGTGTCTGCTGAAGTGACTCCATCGCTGAAGAAAGGTTCTCTTCGGCCGCGTGAGAAGTTTGCTGCAGAGTGCAGATGCTCATCGTTTGCTGCTCTGTCAAAGGTTCTATTTGTGGCAGTAATATCTGCATCAATGACAGAAAAATACCTCGCACCGAGTTAGCACGAACAAACTTGAGATCAATTAATTCAATAACTAAATAACCTGCTACCTGGAGGTAAAATACTGTAATCAGAACTTCAATCCAGCTGCCTAGGTTCAAACGTAGGTCACCAGCATTCGTAGATTAAGCACCTTCAGTAACTCAGAGGGTCGAAAGCCACCCATCCAAATGAAGCATCGCTCAGCAGGAGTTTTCCACATGCCGGAGACAACATGGAATACATCAGCTTTTGCAGCAACAGCCTTGAGTCGGAAAATCTCCTCATAGTGTGCCATGCCCCCGTCCACAAGTCCTCGCAGTTCAGTATCAGCAGCATGAGCCTGCAAAGCGGCACGGAGCTCACTCATCTGTCGTTGCTGCTCTTCCATCCACCTTGCGTACTCCAAGTCAAACGCTACAGCACCTGCTAACCCAGCTCACTCTTCACAAATCAGGAACCCAGCTCACCCTTCACAAATCACAAACCTCCCGGTAAGAGAGGAAGAATAATAGCCTAATGGATCAAGGCTAATATATGGAGATAATAACAGAATTCTGTCAGAAAAGCAAACTCGCAACTCAGATCAGCTATGAAACTTCTGAATACTTTGCAAAATTAAGCGCAACACTTGAGTTGACCAGGGACATTTAGATTGCAGCATTCACTAACTGATAGGCACACGAACAGAACGTACAATTTCCCAATCCCTCCTCAGGATCGTTGAGCACATCGAGAAATCATGAGCGTCGACATACCCGAGTTACTTGCGTTCGCGCCCCCAATTCCACCACCAGAATGGGCAATTTGATCGCCGCTGTAAGAGCCAGATCCCAAATATAAACCCTGCTAAGAAAGACAAAAATCAAACGTACTCAGATTCTTGACAACGAAAAGGCAATGCTTTGCTCAAAATCCGAGACTTTTCCTGTGTACTAAACCAAAACCGCCCAAATTCCAACAGGTAAACAATAAATCACGCGCCAATTCCTGATAGATGAGACACGACATGAGACACATGGAATGTAAATACTTCACAACAGTGCGCGAGCCATGAGTTTGAAGTATTGCAGAACCAAGGTACTGTAAACTCAAGCTTTGCCAGAATTAAATGGCTTGCTATGGCTACTGGGACGCTAAAAGGTTATGTAAAGAAGACTGATAAATCTACACTTCGAAGTGTTCCATCCTTTGATTGTGACAGAACACCAATCAGCTTAAATGCACGGGTGACTTTTAGTTCGGGAGGCGTACAAATCTTCTAAGAAAGAAGGAAGAGAGAAAGGGAAGGAGAGCCAAAAAAAAACAAAACGAAATGAAACAAACAAACAAACAAGCCAAAGAAAAAACGGATTTATAGTTTGTTTTTAAAAACCTTAAAATAAAAGATAGATAAAATAAAATAAGGCTCCAGGATTTCATCATCAATAAAAACTGTGTCTTTAAATTGTGATATAATCTCGTAGTGTAGGACATGCTTAGGAATGCATTCTTAGAATAGGAGAAAAATGCATTCTTTAAGGAGATATATGAAAGGGAATTACTTCAAAAATCCAACTCGCCGAAAACAAATATAATATGAAGGGAAAAACCTGTTGTCGAGCTCTTTGTAACTCTTGCTCCAGCTGATTCAACTTTATACGACTGGATTCCAGCTGCTGTACATAGGCCTGAAATAAATACCAGCATTTATTACTCCCGATGCGCTTCAAATTTGTAAATACGTCGGATGTGCAACCACCAATTTAATCGGAAGTACACTTGTCCATCGGCTTTAGACCAATCGGAAGGCCACTTACCTTTTTCCTGAGTCTGCTTTTTCTGGCTGCTTCACGATTTTGCGCTAGACGCCTGAGAGCCTGTACCAAAGGAGAGTTCCAACTTAAGCAGATGAGCTTCGGAAAACTATCCTTAAACGATAATTTGAACAATTTTTTTTCGAGAATTCTAATCACCGAAGTGGGGAACAAATTGTGTTTAGAAAAAGTCATGTCTCGAAACATCACTAAACTGACGTTAAACACTCGACTGTTAGCCTCTAACACGCACTTTTGAGTCACCATTCTTAGTTCCCGCTTCGTGATCAGAAGTAATGGAGCCTCCTGTGACCTGTTGGTGCCCATCATCCAACTGCCAGAAGGTCATGAAACTGTTAAAAAGTATTCTTGCAGAACACCGCAGATAAGCTCAAAAATGCTCCCACGACGCTACTCTCACAGTGTGTGAGCTTGCATATGAAAAACTGGTTATAGACTATCCAGAATGCGGAAATGGATGCTTTAAATTGATTAAGAGGCTATCTGGCTACTCTGCTCCCAGAGTCGTATACCTTAGCATCAACTTCGACATCGGTTGATGTATCCGTTCTTGGACTATTGTCCCCCATTTCACTCCGTTTCTAAATTCCTATCGCAACACAAGTTGCGTTCTATTGAAGCGCGCAAAATCTTAAGCTGGATCTCTTCACAGCCACAGAGCTGGCAAAGAATCTGCCAAGGAAGACACAACCAAATTCAACATCGTTCCAAACTAACAAAGGCTCCTGTGATCAAAGCATGAAAGAAAAACCGACATCCACAAATCGCTCCTGAAAAAATTTCTATGAGGTTGCGGATGACATTTCCCATTAGACAGTGTAATTTTTACAACACTAATACAACCTCCCAATTTTTTTCACTCACTTCGCCTCCGGGAACGAAACGGCCAGCTCAGCCCAAGCTCAAAAGTCCTCCGCCGTCACATCAAAAACCTCCAACACACACCCAAACTCATCGCCTGCTCTGTCACCATCACACTTTCTCCTCCCTAACCCAGTAGCCGCTTTCTACTGCGTCGTCTTCTCTCCCCTCTCTCTCTCTCTCTTTCCTCCACTTCCAAACACTTTAAATCTCACACCTCACACACACGTCACACCCCTATGTGCAACAAACCCTTTACTCCTAATAACCCAAACAAACAGGATTAAAAAAAAAAAAAAAAAAAAAAAAAAAAAAAGAGACAAACAGAAGGAAGGGGAAGGGGGGAAAAAAAAAAACGGAAAATATAATAATCCAACCCGACACTCGTCAATGCAACTATCAGGCCCGCCAGAGCATACACGACGCAATCCCGCAACGAAGGCGGAGCTGCGACAGAGGCCAACGCCTCCTCTCAAGCTCGCCCTCACTCCAACGAAACCGACAAAACCAAAATGACCCGCGAGGCCCCTCAAGGTAGCGTTCTAAAGCTTGATCGAGCTCACTCCCCCTCACTCACTCACTCCCGCTTTCTCGCTCTCTCTCTCTCTCTCTCTCTCTCTCGCACCCCTTCGTCGTCACTCGTCACTCGTCACTCGCTCTCTCGTCACACACGCGAATGACGCCACAAAATCGCAAGCAATCAACATCCACGTCCGATCGGACAGTAGAAAGTAGAATGGCCCTCGCCCCCCACCCTGTCGGAGAATGAAAATCGGCCGGAGCCCCCAAGACGAGGAGGAGGGAGGAGAAAGGAGCAAGCAACGGAGGAAGGAGGCCACAAACCCCACCCATCCATCCCCATCCTCAGTCAAACGCATCCCCGTTGACTCCAAGCACTCCGCCCTTCCTGACCCTACCTGCCTGCCCGTTCGGAACCCCCGGTCAGCATATCGATACCCCCCTAACTCTTTCTCTCTTCGTGTGTGTGCGTGTGAGCTCGGGTTTTGGAGGCTGACCGTTTCGAGTGGGCTGACCGAGGATGCCAGGCCAGAGTGGGGCACATGGTAAAAAACGGGCGGGGTGACAACATCACTGACGTGGATCGCAAAGCCCGTCGTAATGCCTTGCCACGCGGCGCATTATTATTCGCGGTGCTGACGCATCGCTGATGGGGCGGCAAAGATTGGCTCGGTACCTGCCTACCAACCTACCTACTCGATCATGCCCTAACCACGACCACCTGACCCCGTTCTCTGTCACTCCCTGCGACTTCTCAGCATCCTTCATTCATCTCATGTCTTCATCCACGCATTCATTCATCTTCCTCCTCGCCACATCCGTTCGCCATTCGTTCGTTGGATGTATGGTGTGGCTTTGGTATTGGATGAATTCGTTGTTGTTTGCTCTTGTTTGTTCCAAAATAGAGCATTCTTTAATTCGGATTGATTCAAAAGGAATTTCTAGTTGAGAAATTCACATGACACAGTGATAAGTTATAAAGTTATTTTTTCCATGAAAAATGGAAAAAATAACATTATACACAATATTGTTCTTTTATATATATATATATATATGTGTGTGTGTAAACATTATGCAATCTCCCAGAAAAAAAATCATGTATTACTCATTAATAGAGGTTCACATTCTTGAAGCTTTTAATCCACATTAAAATCGAAAATATTTTAAACTATATTTCTACTTAATAAAGAAAATTATTTTAATTTGACAAGATTTTTTTTAAATCGACCATTATATAATTTTTTTTTATTTATTTATTTTCGTAAATTGGGGTTTTATCCATGAAGCCATATTGAAATGCAGTACTCTTGAAAGCGTTTCTATGTAATCAATGTGAATTAGATGCTGAAAACATCACCATTGAGGATGTAGTATAAACTTCTAAGTTAAAAGATAGGATTAGATTCTTTCTCAAATGGATATTTTTCTTTTTGCTTTCCCCTTTTTTTTATTTACATAAAATTTATAAATTGCCTCCCTTGCGCATGACACATGACCAGCTTTTCATCGTCACTGTATCCATCTTTTTGTAATTGTTTAAAAAACATCAATGCATTATTCTCCAATATAAATTATTTCTGATTTTTTTACTTTACCAATTCTAAACTTTCTTATTGTACCTTTTACTGTACCTTTAAGTTTATCTTGCATAATCTGTTGTGTGCACTCAAAACAATATATATATATATATATATATATATAGAGAGAGAGAGAGAGAGAGAGAGAGAGATATTAAAATTTTATACTTAGCCGTTTCACTTGAGCTTATCTGTGTATTGTTAGATTGCTGTCATAAAGCTATACTTCCCTTGTGATTTTTTGTTGACACATTGTAGATCTATATGCGACCAAGGATTGGTAATAATGTTAGAGCGTATGAATACAATACTTAGATTATTTTCTATTCAAAAAACATATGTACCTTTCACCTTATGTAAATGCATAAAACACGGTCACACACACACCTACATATGTATGTATGTATGTATGTATGTATCTTTAAAAATAGTTTCCTACATACAGTTTTGCTACCAACCATTCATACAAAAAAATAAATGTTATTACTTTGACTGGAATAGTTTTAATTGTACTTTATTGGACACAAATTTTAATAACATTCAGCTATTGGTAGTCCATGAGTTCATGAACAAAACTTAAGATTCATTACTATTTATGTTCTAGTTCTTAGATTTCTTTAAAAACAAAATCAAAAGTGAATTGTAGTGTCTAATTGTGATGTGTCAAGTGACCTTTATTTTTCAAGAACCCAGTCTTTGTTGTATGTTTAATTATTGAATTTCTTAAGAAAGTTGAACATAATTGCAGATAAGAACAACAGAAATAAAACTTAGAATCTTGCATATAATTGAAGGCCAAAATCCCATGTTTACACATTGCTTATTTGTAACCCAACATAGAACAATATATTATTGTTTAAACGATTTGAAACTATTTTTGTATGAGTGTTGAAATAATCATTTGAAATTGGTAGCACAAGAGAATTAGAACCATAAAAGAAAAGGATGTTGTACACAAAGTGTGGGAGCAGACTTAACTGCATGCAAAAGTAATGGTCATTGCTCATGTGGTCTTATCTAATTCATAAAAGGAATCAAATGAATACTCCCCTCTCCCCAAATCATTGGCAATTGATTTATCAGTGTTCTTCCATGAAACCATTGATGACCAGGTTTAGTGAACAATGTACATGCTCACATTCCCAGTGTAGAAAGGACCTTGATTTTATTATTCATTTGATTCTTTATTCTATCAGTGCCCCAACATTGTAGACACTTCACACCTCTTCTTCTATCACTGCTACAATATTGTAGATGTTGTGCACAATTCACACTTCTTCTCCTTATGCTTCTGGATTTTGGATCATAACCTTATGGAAGTTGTACACGAATTCAACAAGAGCATATGGAAGTTGTACAAGGATTCTTATTTGATAGCATTTAGGTCTAGCTCGTTCTTTTCAAGCATTTCTCCTGGGGCATCAAACTACTGTAATGAGCCAACTCCAATGTCCAAGTAATGCAGGCAAAGGCCATGTTGTGACAAGAATCTCCATATAAGACTGCTTAGGTCCTCTTCTATCATTGTTCAAGCATTGGAATAGATTAAAGGCCCAATCACAGATGAGGACAAAAATCTTCAAAATTTGTAAATGCAGTCCATACTAATACATTCAATGGTTCCAAACTTTTAGCAAAAGAAAATACTTGTGCAAAATCGATTAAGTCATCTCCTTGTAGAGGTTTGAGGGAGAGAGTGCGAAGCAAGACTTGTCTTAAGTTGGGAACGGATGCAAGGGGGAGATGAAGGGGACATGGTACGAGGATAAAAAATGGAGACATGATACAAGGATAAGAATGGGGACATGGTATAAGGACATGGTATGGGGACGAAAATGGGGACATGGTATAGAGACAAAAATTAAAACATTGAATGAGGGATGGCAACAAGGACATGGGACTGTTTACGGGAGATGGACAAAATCAATCATGGGATGGCAAAGGAGTGTGGCTTGAACAACATTGCAATGTTTTATCAACTCCCTAAATTTGCTCTTTAAAAAAAATGTATATACATACACATACAAATAGACAGACATACATAAATACATATAATATAGGTTTGTAGAAAATTATGTCAGATCAAATATCTTTCCTGTTATGTTGGGCATTTGATTACTCATACAATATCATTTTAATCATGTGCTTTATTTATAACAACATGCACATCATTTTCCATGAGCATAAGACAAGTTTGTATATTCATGACTACTTTGGCACTTTAAACTCAATAATCCAATTCTTCTAATGTACAGAAACCTAAAGTGAAGACAAACATATAATAGGATCATAAACCATAATGTGTACTGCTATAATCCAATGGGTGGACATTATCCCACAGTAGGACAAGTATCGACACGCGAATCAGCACCCGGATCAATACCTGGACTAGGACGTAGGCTAGTTACTTGGATTAGTTCCTTGGTAGTAACTAATCCGCGCCGTAGAAAAGCAGTGAGGGAGGGCCTCTCATGCTGTTGGGCTTCGGGGTGATTGTGGCATCGAAGCTTCGGATGCACAGTGGGCATCATCCTCTATGAGAAGCTGCGACGCCACCAGATTCGCAGTCAGGACGCAGATCATATGTCAGCCGCCCGTGTGGCCCACCCAATTCACAAATTCCCCCGCAATTGTCTTGGATGATTCTTCATGCTTCAAGGGTGAGTCTATGGGGGGGGGGGGGGGGGACGAATCACGTAGGTTTACCATTGCAGTTGCGGCGTCGGTAAAGAATTTGATCTGAGCCATGAAGAAGACGAAGACGAAGACGAAGACGAATAGGAGGAAGAAACGTTTGAGGTGTGGTGGTACCAGGAAGAACGATACCCCAGCGTCGATGGTCCTGAGATGAGCATAGACATCGAAACCCACAGGCTGCGCTTGGTGGTGCAGACGTGATGTCCACAACTTGGACCGTTACTGCAAACAGCGGCTACGCGACAGATTGGCGGATTGCATGTGGGACCCGACCATGGAGGGACCCACGAACGAAGAGAGGGCCTGTTACGAAACCTCCCCTAGAGTTTGATTGGAGTGACTGGAAAGAAGCAGCGGAGTCTATCCCTCTGACTGCGTCTCGTTTCATTTCTCACTGTATGTCCACCTTCTTAAATATTGTATCCTGGATTGTCGTAGTCCGCTGCAATCTCCCGGGTCCATGCTTTCGGTCTGTTGTATGACCAGGAATAAGAAACTCGAGAGGTGCAATTTTTGCTATTCCATCCTGACCTAGACTCATCACACATGAGCAATGGTCACCTGTTGCCATCAACTCTTGAAAAACATCATAAACTTGCCCACATCGACATGAGATCGGTCGTACAATACTGCCTAACTACGTAGTCACTTGTGTTGCGCGATTGAAATGGCAGCAGCGATCGCAGCTAAGTAGATTAGAGTACTGGTAAAACGTTTCGAATCTGGCACGTTCCCTTCGAAATCATAAGAAAGGCACACACTGTTTCTGCTGTGGTATTCCAACGTTGGACTAATTCACGATTAGTGCAAACTTTGACAATTGATGGCTAGGAAAAACTTGGGCCGTTCAAGCGCAGTCCCATCTTCACACATAGATACCTCTTGGATGAATACGTTCATTCGACTTACTACACATGAAGGTAATTCATAACCAGCAGCAGTGCATAGGTGAATGTACAAAGTAGAGCGACTAATCTTTTACTGTGAGTGATCCCGTTAGCGTAAAGATGAGTAGTTTGTTATACCGCATCTTGAAGGCGGAACTGTAAAGTGTTTCGAATGCCGTTGCATAGTTGCAATAGTAGTCACATTCTGTGTTGCTATTGTGTGTATGTTAAACTTCAACCATACTGCCCTCGTCTGGCTCAGATGTTCAAGCACAAGCACCCAATACTAAGAGTCTCCCACGATCATACACAAACCAAAATCTGGATTCTTCACGGCCACATCACGCAAAGAACACGGAAATCAGGATTTTCCGCTTTCTCTTTCAACAAGCTGTCCAAGACATCAGAGCGCCAGAAAAACTGACGTGCTTCATGGATTGCACAAAATGTGCGATCAGGGATAAGAAACAGAAGAGCAGATGAGCTCGACCCCAAATGCTATTTAAAGCGCACTTCTAATTTTGGGTCAAGCTAAAGGGTCCACCACCCTTGCAAGGAAGGAACTATTATTGGAGAGCATCCACAGTGGATAGGGTGCGGCATCAACTAGATAAAAAGACTCTCTTGAGAACCAAGGACATAACAACAACAGCAAAGGACGCATGCCGAAACCAGTGCAGACTTGTGGGTCTGTCTGTCCGTCTGTCTGCATAGAGACGTGGATAATACCTGCACCCCGAGAGAATGATCTTGTGTCAGCCTCGTGCCTTCTCTTCGTTGTGATTGCACCCAACTCGTCGCCGAGTAAACCATTCGACTTCCCAATGGATCTGTTGTTGTTGCATCCAAGGCACCAGTGGCGCTGGAATTAGACTGGGTAACAAATTGATGTGCAACGCCTTTTCCTGCATCGGCCGACGAAGATGTAGCTCATGATGCAGATCGTCTTGTGTACTTCAATTTTTTTTGTGTTTTTTATGATTAAAATATTGACATTTGAAGTAGATATTTGATTGTTTAGATATAGATTTTATTCAATACTTGTAGGCAATATTAAGAAAGGCAATACATTATTAACATTCAAGTAGAGGGCACTTTATAATAAGTAGATGTATACTTTGAAAGACTATCGTTCAAATATAATAAGGTCCTCTATTTAGTTAAAAAATGCCCTTTTTGTTTTTTTAGAAAAAATAGTTTTTGGATATTGTACAAAGTAAGATGAAGCCATAATGTAAATCAAATAATTAAAAAATATATATAGATAGATATATAAATATAAATAAAAGTTAAACTATTTTAGTTTTTATCTTTATTCTAAAAAACCTAAGAATTATATATATAATTTTTGTAAACTTTTTTTTGACACAAATTCTTAATTTTTTTTAAAAACTATGTCTTTGAGATGCGTTCAACAATTTTTTTAAAACACAACTCTAGTTATACCATGTTGAAAAATATACCTTATATCTTGTCTTTTCTTTTAGGGCTTTTGAACTTCTTCTTTATTTGAAATGTAAAACCAATTATAGAGAGGTTATTAATTTTAATCAATCAATATATTTAAAAATTGTACCCTATTACATTGTCCCCTAAGTATGAGTTGTTTCATTGTAGCATTTATTATTTGTTTAATGTAATAGAAGAATAAGAAGTCCAATTGTTGTCTATAATTTGCTTTATTTGGCATACTTTCTTAAAAAAAAAACTAGACTTGAATTTTATTCTTTTTTGGACAATAATAAATTATATATATAGGAGAATGATAAAGCAACCCAAATTTTTACTAAATAAATCTATATGTCCCATTCCTAGCCATTCTCCTCTTCTCAGCTATCACCCTTATTCCTGACATTTCCAATCCTTTGCCTCTATTTCTAGCAACATTTGGGAATGGAGAATGGCTGAGAACATGGATGGGAGCTCCAAGGGTGCAATAATGCTTAAGATAGAGTGGATTGCATTAGTAAAAATTTGGGGCACTTTATCATTCTCTAATACATATATGCAGATTATAGAACCACATTATGAATGTGCATATGTTGAAAATCAATTCTAGAGTTAAATTCTATAATAGATAGAAATATTATCTATCTTCACAAATTTTTAGATTAGTATTTTTTTTAAAATAATAATAATAATAATAATAATTTGATTGATCTTAGAAAATATCCAAAGTAACATTAAAAGATATGTTTATCAACTTGTAGAATTTTAAAAAATAAGAAGAAGAATAATAAACAGAATATTACACTAATACATAGATTTCTTTAAGATTAACACAATAAAAGAAGAGAAATATTAAAAATATGTATAAAATCTTTATCCCATATATGTATTTATAAATAATTATTGTAAACTTTTGTTCAACACAAATTCTCAATGTTTTTCTAAAAACCATGTCTTTGAGATGTGTTCAATTTTTTTAAAAAAAAACACAACTCTATTTATGCCATGTTGAGAAATATGCCTTCTATCTTGTCTTTTTCCTCTTAGGGCTTTTTAATTGCTTCTTTATTTCAAATATTAAACCAATTATAGAAAATTTCCTAATTTTAACCAATAAATATATTTAAAAATTGTACCTTCTTACCTTCTCTCTTAAGTATGAGGTGTTTCTTCATAGCATTTATTATATGTTTAATGTAATAGAAGGAAAACAAGTCTAATTGTTGTCTACAATTTACTCTTAAAAAAAAAAAAAAAAAAAAAAAAAAAATGAAAAAGTTGAATTACTTGAATTTCATTCTTTTCAAACCAATGTTACTTAATTAGAGACTTTAAAAAAAAAAATCAATGTTTTTTTAAGTAGGATGCAAAAGAAACCAACATCAATCTTTTTATTAGTGGTTGTAATAAATACTAAGATTTGACACATTACATAAAGATATTATTATCTTGTTATTGCAATTGATAACATCAGGGATTAATAATTAAATTTTTAGACATACAAAAAAATAAGTCACCACAATATCTAATATAAGATTTAAAAAATACAAGGCAAGAGATGATGTATTCAAAGAACACTAGTAGTAATTACATTTTGTTATTTGTAGATTTAATAAGTGCCAAAAAGATATTTGTGAATTTCAGATCAAATTTTAAAAGACTATAAATAAACAACTACTTTGGTAAAGGAAGAAATTATAGAGAAATCTTTAGAATTAAGAAGTTATTTTAGATTTATATCAAACTATTCCAAGTTATAATATATATATATATATATATATATATATATATATTAAATTAATTTGTAACCATAATATATATTTTTTGGTTAATTGATAAAATAAATTGTAACAGATAAGTTGATAATTAATAAATTATATATATATATATATTAAGTATGTTTATTTCTATTACAAGTATATATATATATATATATATATATATATCTGCAGATTATAGAACCACATTATGAATGTGAATATGTCAAAAATCGATTCTAGACTTGAATTCTATAATAGATAGAAACATTATCTATCTTGGCAAATTGTTAGATTATTTTTATTGATTGATTGATTGATTTTTAATTCGGTTGATCTTAGAAAATGTCCAAAGTAACTTTAAAAGATATGTTTATCAAATTGTAGAATTTTTTTTATTAAAAAAGTGTAATAAACAAAATGTTACACTAATACATAGATTTATTTAAGATTAACACAATAAAAAAAGAAAGACATTATATGTATGTATGTACATATATATATATATATATATATATATATATATAATTTTTAACCCATATGTATATAAGCGATTGTTTTCAAAGTTTTGGTAGACAAAGTCCTCATGAAGAATCACAAGCCCCCATGCTCACTGTTACAGTCTGAAGAGCCACTAGGTGACTAAATTAAATGAACATAAATCTTTGTAATTCTAAAATAAATCGTGTGATTCTATTGGCTTCAAATGTTCGGAGATTCAATATTATGAAAATGATAAAAAATAATAATTTGAGAGAATAATATTAGTGGTTTTGTTCTATGTTTGATTTATAATATTGTCATGCTATTTCCACATAACCAATCCACATAATCTTACCAAAATGTTAGTAAGAATATGTATATTGCTAATATGAATAATCTAACCCAGTTATTTTGCAAAGTGAAAAATGGCGTGAAGATGTTTAGTACAAGAAAGAATGAAACACCATGTCAGAGCCAAAAAAGTGGAACCCCAATTTCAAAAGTAAAAGCATGCGTTGAAAAAAGTGAAAAGTAAGGGCCCAATTCGAGCTCCTGACTCCGGAATCATCACGAGAACGTTCTCGAAGTTTTCGAGTAACAGGCCACAAAAGGACATTTGACTGTAATCTTCCACGTGGAGTGTCCTATTGAAAGACCTGGCTCAACAGGGTATTCTTTCAATACAAGGTTCGGCTAGCGGGTATCAGACATCAATATAGTGTCGTTTTCCAGTCGATAGAAGGTGAACCTGAACTGGATCTGCATTTGGCTGAGTTTACTTGTTGTTGGTGATCTGATTCTTCGTTAGTGCGCACACAATTCTCTGAGAGACGGATCGCAGAGGAGTCGTGAGCGGAAGAGAGTGAGATACTTCGATGGACGTGAAAGACTGTAGCAAGCAATTATTCTGCAAAGTAGTGGTTGTCGCTTCCCAAAGAGGAGAGAAAGTTGACCTTGCCTGCGGTTGTCTTTCGGAGGACGTGTGCCCAGGAGAATATACTGGTCACTCATTGTCGTATCTCTATGCTTGTTTCCGGCAGGGTCCTGAAGTTCACTGGCAACGAAGATTCTATACTCGCCAACCTCCCACGGCCATGGTTCGGGGGATAAATACTGCAGGATTAATACACCTGCGGTAGGCTTTCAGCCTATGTTGCGGACGCAATCGGAAAGACTTCGAGCTTCTGGACATGACCAGGGGCTGTTCTTGCAGCTCACATTCCTAAACCTCGGCTTGGCTCATGCAGCTCAATCCTAGGATTTCATGATATGTTTTGACCTGCTACACAGATAAGACTGCCGGAGTACTGGTTGACTGCGAAATTGTTTTTAGGAGTTCTTGCTGGATGCAGAAAAAGCCATGCGGGTGCTGGTGAAAGGTGTTTACAGAGACGTGGGTCGATGTTACGAAATCCTGATGCTTATGATCGGGTTCCTTTGATATAATGCCGCGGAATGTTTCTTTTGTGCATTCTCTTGTAGTTATAATTTTGGACATAGACTCCAATCCAGGGGATTATAAACATGTGGATGTATTTTTAGCTAGATTTCTCTGTGAAGACCGAGTTGAACGTGAAGGTTCGATGGGATTGCTCATTGTGTCAGAGAGATTAAAGTTTTCGAAGCTAGTCTTGTCTTCGCCGTTGAGAGGGCTTCACTGACCCATGTGTGCTTGCCTGAACAGACGAAGCCCTCTCAACGGGCTAATCATCTGTTTAGTCAAGCAGTATATCCCACCATCATTAACCTCTATTGTTGTTATTTAGTTATATTTTGTTGTTTTTATTATTATTTTATATTATATCATTGAAAGCTCATGGAAATGATACAAGTGATCAATTACATCTGCATTATTTACTTATTCATTTAATTATTTTTATCTTGTGTCTCTTCTTTTTTTTCCTGTTCTTTCTATGATCATGTGAGTGTTGGTGACGCCTCAAACTGTTCCGTTACTGTTCTCACACTCTCCCACAATGCAGATAGACTGTTGAGTTGATTACTTTCCGCTTAGGTGAGGACTCTAGACCTGCTGCACAGGGAGCTGTTCTGTGAGCGCATTGCACGAGGTCAGATTTCTACAGCTTGTGAAGAATAAATATTTCTATTGGTATATATCCACAATTTTTCAATGTTTTTTCTTTGTTGAAACGGATAAATATAGTAACTGCGAATCTTTAAAACTTTGCAAGATTTTCCAGGTGTATCAAACAAATTGCAATAATTTTTTTAAGATACACGTATTAGATTATAAAATCTTCTTTCACATTAGAATTACTTTTCAATATAAACACGTTTTTGCAAATTTCTTATCAGTCATGATAGTATCACAGTTTGTTAAGTTTTAGGTAATTTATGATATTTCAACATTTAAAAAAAAAATCTTTTCAGCTAGAATATTGTCAATATTCATCTAATATGACACTGACAATTGTTTCTTTTTTATTAATTTAATCTTAAAAATCTCTCTAGGTAAAGTTTGTCAAAATAAATCTGCACTGATTAATACAACGTGACTTGAAAATATCCAACAGCTTCACATCAACCATAACGTGAAAGAATGTTAACACAGGGGAATGGGTCAAAAAACGAACTCTGAAGCAACTCATTATAATTACTTTTTTTTAACAATTTTTTTTTTTTGGTTTTTTTGGTTTTTTTCAAAAGTCAATCTTTCTTGAAGATGAGAAAAAATTAATAATAAAAATAAAAATGCAATGAATCTTAAACTTTTTATGTTATGAGAAGCAATATTGGAATTTCATTGCAAAATACCAGATTTCTATGCCTCCTCCATTTGATGTGTTTATGTATTTTGATAATTTTAAATTAACAAATTTGAAGTAAGAATGTCAATTTAGGTCCAATAAAAAGAATTAACTACATTTGTTTTTTTGAAAACAATATGCATTGGTATATTTCCTTCTTTTGACTTCCTCTATTATTGAAAATGCCTCTTTCAACCACGAGGTCAAAAACAGACATATGAATTGAAGTGTAACATTTAAAGAAAATTATTTTGTTTGTTATTATGTAGAATAGTAGTATTTAAAGCAATGAAATTTTACTGAGATTATGGTCAGATGGAAACACATTCGGTTCATGGATAATTCCTCATAAGTTTTTATTAAACTTTTTAAAAACAATTATACACCATGAATAATTTTATTGAATGTTTAACTTTTTGAAAAAATCTGTAAGAACAGTTCGATTTGTATTTGAATATAAATATAAACACTCATCTCAAATTATGGAATACATAAAATCTTCAGTTATGTACACGTTCATAAACTTGTTTTACTGTGTTTGATCTAAACTTAAAAATTTCTTGAAAGAACGTTTTAAATTTTTATTTGTGAATTTCGGTTAGTTGGTAATTAAAATCACTGACATTTCATATGATTAAAATAAATAAGTAAAATGGGTTACTAAAAATTTCGTAGAAGGGTTCATGATGCTCTTGAAGAAATCAAAAAACATTTCTCAATACAAATTTCAATATTTACATATAAATCTATGTATAGCATGATGTTGCAACTCACTTCACTACAAATTTTAAATTCCCATGTCTATCAATATGATTCATAAGAAATTCAAAGTTTTGCATCTAATGAAGGGTATATCTTGTAACAATAGTAGTGACAAATAATGACATCAAGTATTTTACACTTGCCAAGTAAATTTTGATGGATGCATTAAACAGGATTTTTAGTTTTATTGAATTCTACTTATTCAGATCTATGGTAATTATTCATTTCGAAATAATAATATAAAATTAATTTAAGAAAATTCATTCAAAATATATTACATGAATACGATTTTTTTTAAAAAAAAAATAGATTGAAAAAAGTTATTTTCTATACACTCACAATTGGGCTCAGCAGTCGGGGTTCAGACCTCTGCTTGAAACGCACCTAAGACCACATCGGAACCCGGTACCCGTGTGAGAAGTCCTCGTCTCGCTTGTTGTTCGCCAAATTCGGCGTCTGTTTGCGGTTTCCATGGCTGCGATGACGAGCTCCATCCGCGGTCGCGATGCTTAGCTTAAGCCCTAATTCCTGCTCGGTTGACGAGTGATGCCAGTGAACCGAGACAAGCGTTCCAGCGATGAGTGAGCTTCATTAGATCGACGACGCATCGCAAAATTGTGTTGCGAAGTTGTTGCGGTGAGTGGAACGAAGGATTAGAAGCACGAAGTTGCAATGCATCGGAGGAAATCGTGGTGCCCTTCGTAGGCTCGTGTCTGCCGACCTCAGGATGGTTGTCTCAATGTACTCTGCTGCGCAAGATGTTTCTGACGTGAAGTTGCACGTGACAGCGATTGCCACGTTCTTGAGACGGTTTGAATGGCTATGGCGGTCGCACGTTGTAGATTTTTTCAAAGTGAGTGCCGTTGCTCTTACTTATCTGGTCTTTAATGAAGAAGCCTAGAATGAAAGATGTCATCGAAATTTAATTGATGATAAAAATCTGCGGATAGACCAATTGTTTTGTTTGGACGGGCATCAGCTATTTTGTATAATGATCGCGAGGGGGTGAGTGAGTGTGTGCTTTTAATTTTTGTTTTATAGCCTGGTGACGTTCAATTTATCGTCATGATTTCGTCATGTTTCTGATGCATTTGTGCGCATGAATTGTATGGTCGTGCAGGCAGAATTGTGGGGAAAGGTGGACAAGGAATGGATTGCTTGCCTAAGGCTTGCGTCTGCGGAGAGTTGGTTGCTGATGCCATCTGGTATCGTACAGGTCAGAGGTGGCATTACTATCCGTCAACGCTGTTGACTAAACTTTTCTTATATTCAAATGAACGATTGCTCCAGCTCTTTAACATGTTTGGCGTTCGTTGGATGGCAGGAAGGATGGCCTGAGTCTTTGAAAGAATTCGTGCGAACAGCAGGTCAACTATCTCTTTCTCGCGGACAAGTCGATGTTGCATCAAACATGGTACTCTACTTCTTAACCATCATGCTAATAGAACTCTTCGATATCTCGATACTACAAGGATGTGAGTCTCTCTAGCAGTTTAGCACTACTACTTTGGCTCTTGTTGTACACTGCGTAGAAACGAATTGTTAGCTGGAGTTGGCCTTGTGTGCAACCTCAAGGTTGGCTAAAGGGTTTTTCATGTAGTCTTTTCCAGGGACTCCGCAGGCTCCCATTGGCAGTGTTCTTGCTCAGGGGATGAGTGTCAAGAAACGCCACGAGGTAGGGTGCAAATATTCAGCAGGAAGTCTTTACGGAATTTTATGAAAGATGGATATCAATTTTTTCTCTGTTAGCGTTTTGACACACCCGGGGACTCTGAAAATGAACCATGCACTTTTCCTAGTTTTGGTGGTAGCCGTCTTTGTTGATTTTTTGTATTCAAATTGATTCTACCTGTTCTGTTTCGATTTTCGTTTGTGCGATTTTTATTAGTGAAGCACATCTATGGGATCTTTCATAGATTCCATGTTCTATTTTATGAAGAAGAGTTGGGGCGTAAAACGGTAGCGACCAGTGTGCAGATTGGCATACTGGCAGCGGTTATCGCAGGAACTGCAGAGCTGAGTGGATCTAAAGATGTGATCGATGTTGGAGCTGGCCAGGTGTGTACACAAAGAATCTGGGCTACACTTGTTTCTTCTCCTTGTCTGACGGTCTTGATGGTCTTCATATAAGTAATTTTGTACTTGTACCTTTTCTTTTACTTTTTTTGTGTATTCGAAATATTGACTTGTATCAATGTTTGTGGGCAATGTGGAACTAATAATTGCAACAGGGTTACCTTGCACTTGTCTTGGCATTTGAGTATCGATTATCTGTGACCGCTGTTGATGCATGTGCTCATCATGCCGATGTAACAAATAAGCGTGCACAACGCATTGAAAAATATTACAACACGCGCTTACGGAAGTCACAACAAGGTACATATGAAAACATGATCGTGAAGTTTTGGCAGAACAGTTGATGTCAAGAATACTGTTGATTCTCTACGTGTTCCTATCAAAGTTTATGATCTACTCGTATACGAGATATATGCCAGGTTGTCCTTCGTTCAAATTTATGCATTAAATCATGGAAAGGATGCGCAACAGTCTGATACAAGTCTGCAGCTTGTAAACATCAGTAGCACATTGTTCTCGAAGAAATGCATGGTTTTGATGTAATAGCGCTACTGTCTCACCGGCAGTCGGTCTGGGTTGTTCAGCTGTGCGTGCTCCACAAACGGTTACTTGCCGAGTGGGCACAGGGGAATTTTCAGCAGCATTGTCCTCTCTGTTGCCAGCATTCGAGGAATCTAAGTTGTCAGAAGTCTTCGCCAATGAGAGGCCTGCGGACCACGATGAAAATACTTTTGCAGACTCAAAGAACTGCAGTGTAGTGTTAGCTGGTTTGCATGCTTGTGGGGACCTCTCTGCAACAATGCTGAGGTTGGTGTTTCGGATCATTTCGAGTCTGGTCATTTTGAGGCTGATACGTAATAAATAAAGAGTTGATGCTGCTGAATGACATTGTTGATCAATGTCTAAGATTAATTTTAATGCTCAATCAAATCCTACATAGTTCGAATAGACTCTTCCGTAGAGTATTAAAAGCAGGTTGGACTGGAGTGCGGAGGAGAGCGGTTTTTTTCAATATGCTCTCACTTAAAACGATTATTGATTTCTTATTTTGGAACATTCTATTTTTAAATGGTGCCTAGGTTATTACGTGTACAGTTGAGATAGCAGTAGATTTCGCTGCTGAAGCAGAATGTGTTCTAACTTTACGTGCTTGTAACAGGACTTTTATTGAGTGCAAGGAAGTTACTGCTGTCATAAACGTGGCATGCTGCTACCACTTGTTAACTGAGGAATCCAGTAACGACAAGAAAGAGTTTTATGGATTTCCAATGAGTGAAGGAGTGAGCAACTTAGGATTGGAGTTGGGAAGAAGTGCTCGTGAGCTTGCGTGTGAAGTAAGATCTTAGCTCTGCAGATTTGTTTCAAGCCACTGTGTGTAATGCTGTTCAGTGTGTATAAATAAACCTTACAAGTGGTCTGATTTGCGCAGAGTCCAGACAGGTGGAAGGAGCACCATCCAACAAGGGCTATCCAGAATTTTGAGCTGCATGCCTTTCGTGCAGCTTTTCAGTTGGTGAGATCACAAATACAAGTTGGTCCCGGCCTGTTTCCATCATTTAGTTGATTCTTTTTGAGGGGAGCTTAGGGAAGTTAGAAAACATGTTTACGTGTCTTCAGTACTTTTACCTCATTGTTATCTACACTTGTACATTAACGAAACTGCTGAAAGCTGCTCTTCAGGGACTTGGAATAATTAAGTTCGATATTTAAGGCACGTTGAATTTGTTTTCTAGCAGATTTTGGACCGATATTATCCAGAGACAGCAGACAATAGGCCGTCAGTGGGTCGTGTAGGCAAGTCGCGACGTAGGCGTAAAGCACGACAAGCAGCAATGGAACCCTTACCTGACAACTCGGGCAATGGAACTATACAGAGCAACATTAGGGAGACCATGCTGGAATGTGAAAATCGCACAGAGACTTCAGATCATCCTCTTGGGACATCTACATTATCAACCATCCCCAAGCTAGACGTGCTCCCTGGATCCGCTCAAGACGGGAACACCCTCAGATTTGAGCATGTAGAAACCTCTTGTTCGATTAATTTTGGAGCCGACCCTTGCGAGCTGGTGGAGAATGTTGGTGATCTTAATCCGAGTTCGACCATTAATGCTGAATTCGCTGTGGAACAGCAGGCCGCAAGATTTGAGGACTATGCCAAACCTGTGCTGGAGCTACTTGACCTGCCCCCTCTTTCATCTTCTGTGTTCAGGTGCATTTGGTCAGAAGTGGCAGCGCATCAGGTATACACCAAACATTTGTTTCCGTCAATTAACTCCATTAATTCAATAATACTTTTGGTTAATCAAATAGCTCTTTAATTTTAGAATCCGTTCTGCCTTACGACCTTGGTACCTTGGATTCTTGGGAGGTCGGTTGAAGCTGAAGCTTTTTGTGTGACAGGATCTGGTGGGTCCATTCTATTCGTTGAGAACTGTTTTGGCTCCAGTGATTGAGTCATACATCTTGTTAGATCGACTGTTATATGTCAAGGAGCGAGCTGAAATACTTGCTTCAAAGGACGAGATGAGTTGCCAGATAACTTCACAGCTTGTTCCTCTCTTCGAGCCCTCAACGTCTCCTCGCAACATGGCCATCATAGCTCGGCGAGGTGAATTGTGAAACACTTCGTTGCACTGCAAATCTAGTGATTTTAATCCAGAGAAATGTTCACAACTCAACTTCATATTGTGTGAGCATCAATAGTTGCAACTCACTCTGTGCACATCAGCAATTTTTTAGAATCAAAAATACTTTCAAAACATGAGATAATTTGTAAGTATTTCAACACAGTTCAGAAAGAAAATTTTCCTCTGAAGAGGTAATGCTCTTAAGATCTTTCTGAATGTTTTATTGGCTGAAAACAAACACCGTTGTTTTTTATGTCATGAGTGGTTCATTTAAACTGTGAATTCTTACGATAACTTTCTACAACACGGGTGAATTTTGTTACAAATCCGCAAACCAACAACACACTCCAAACGAATTTGAAAATGACGTCAGCCTAGAATAACCTTAGAATCTGAGTCTCTCACAACGAAAACGAAGGCATCGTGAAAACATCATTCTAGCAAGCTTCTGAAGGCAAAGCACCCTCCCATGTTAGCTTTCTGCACGTTGTGATAACAGTTGAATCTGATAGTTGAAACTCAGCCTGCTTCCCCATTAGCGGAGATGGTTACAACACAAAAACGCGTAAGGCAATCGTGACACAGTAAAGTAGCGAAGCGAACACTTTCTGGTACACACAAGAAGCCAGTCGCGATGAATGAAGCGCAGAAATCATCAGCTTGTGAACGGAATCCGAACAGATGCTTCACAGGGCTGCAGCTCGGAAGACGATGATGACACACACACTCACTGGGGGAGGAGGAACAACCACCACGCTTTGACACCATCGCCATTGCCATCCATGGCGAAGCTCCTCATCTCCGCCCCCGCTGCTGCTGCTTCTCCCTGCCTTGGGCGCGCTTCGCTGGGTCAGTTCCCTATCCTGTTCTTTCTAGTTGCCGTCTCCATCTCATCACCGCCAGACAAATTGAAGGAAGTACTTCACGCTGTGGGGTGAATTGGATTAGGAGCGTTTTTTCTAATTCGAAGAGATGAGGCGGGCATTTCTTTCTGCTACTAGCTGAGTTTGGGGTAGCTTGTGTTGCTCATTTCGTCGTACTTTGGGTCGGTGGCTGGTTTTTGCTTCGACGGGAACCGAATTGTTGTGGATTTTTGGTTAATTTCTCGTATGGGTTGTGTACAGGACTTGTAGCTCAAAGGAATGTGAACTCTATTGAGTATGGAGTGGGCTCCATGGCTGGCTCATGCGGAAGGCTGTCTTCCAGCGCTTCGTGTCAAATGTTCGGGAGCAGCGAATTGGGTGATTATGCTTCTTCTTACCTTTTTTCTTTTCCCCCCCCCCCCTTTTTTTTTTTTTTTTTTTTTTTTTTTTTGTTAAGAATTTGTATCTGATGTGTGTGAGTAGGCGGTGAGCGGCGTGAGACTGAGTTGAGAGAGGGTTGCCGCTTGCTGCGGATTTTCTTGGAAGATTTTTGAGATAAACCTTTCGGTTGCTCGAGTCTGAATTGCTTGACTTGTATGGTACAGCAGCAAGGAGATATTGAGGGAGCGATGTAGGTTTAGTTTGTGCCTGCCTGGCTAAATGTCCATTTGGACGAATGCGGAGTTGTGTTTTTGGAAGGATGATTTGAACTTGTCTGTTGTCGATTGCTTAAATTGGTGGCAGCAGCATGGAAAGCTTCGTTAGCTTCGCGTAGACAATCACGGAGAGCACACAGCATGAATATTCGGTGTGACCAATCCACTGAAGGTGGGAATAGAAGGAGCTTGGACACCTGGATTGGACGCTTTGCCATGCTTGGGTTCGTAGCTGCGATTGGAATCGAAATTTCCTCTGGAAAGGGAGTGCTTGAGGTACAATTCTATGTCGAACCCGCTTACCCATTCATATGGAATAATCCTCTCCACCTCAGGGATATACCAGACGTCAGCACTTTGCGCTGTCAGGAGGGATGTTAAGCTATAATGACCAGATTCAACAATTCCACCATCTTCAACACCATCTTGTTTCTGTTGATTGAACATCGTAGATCATTTTTTTCCAAGTTAATGCTAATGTTTGGTTGTGCTTCTCTGAATGCAGAGCGCCGGACTCCCAGTTCCAGTGCCTCCCGTTGTGTTAGGTCTCATATCTCTGGTCGGTATTGTGACGGCATGGAATGTGTTCCAATCACCTACAAGGGATTGAAAATGTCCTTTGTTTGGAGTAGCGAGTCATGATAAACTAAGGCTCATTCTTTTATACTTTTCGCTGCAGTTAATCTACATTGATATGTTCATAGCTCTACGTGATTTTATTTGTGTGAAGTTTTTGATGCGTAGTTCCTCAGCAACGTTGCCGGTTTGAATGAATTTGGAATGCCTCAACGAAAATGAAATTTAGGAACCACAAGAATGAGTGCGATGAGAGTGAGGTGTAGAAAGGATTCTCATAATCTATTGGTGGCTTTGCTCCGTACGGAGTCCATGTACTTAGAACCAATCTCGGCTTTTCCAGATTTTGATGCATTTAAGTGTATTTAGCCAACTTTGGTGATGAAAACAACTTTTCTTGTGTCAGGGGGTTTCATGTTAATGGATTAACAGGTAGAGATCAGGGTCCAGGGTTGTCTTTATTACTGTCAAACTTGAATTTGAGAGCACATGAGATCCCCCAATCGTGTATTTTGGCTTTGCCAGGTTAAGCATTTCAAATGCGTTAGATCAAGGCGATGTCTAGATGGTAGTACAGAATCCGTAAGTAATTCAAAGACCCATCTCCACACGAGCTCTTGCCAACAACAATGAATTACTTTAAAAAAAAACAATCATCAACATTAAGACCATTCCGAACATCTGAAAATCAATTAATACTACCGTTACTGTGAAACAACGGCAACAATAGTGCAAAAGTGAACCACAGGGGGTACCAGCACGTTTGGCTTGTGAAGAAGTGGGTAATTGAAGACGACGTGTCGATATGTCTCTGGTTTGTGAAGAACTACATTATTCACCATCATCAGATGCGAGATGAGAGATCCGTTGCATAACTTTCTACTGTCCAACTTCTCCACACCTTGATTTAAAGCTTTGGAACAGGGAATGCTAGAAACGGTGAGGTTGGAAGGAGCGATAGAAAAGAGAAGGAAAGAACAGCAACATGGGCTTGTAGGTCCTTGAAGACATGTTCATGATCTCCAACTACAGACCAACAATACGTAATAGAAAGACTCAAATGAGCAAATCAAGAACAAGGTCTCAAAGGAGAAAAGGATCCCTGAATCAGGTTTTCCAAAACCCTAAAGCTCGGCACAAACGTTGGACCTATCGAGATCGACTCGAAACAAGACGAGAAAGTCGGGCAGTTACTGATATTTCGCATTGCGCACACTCGTCCGCCACGCATATCCACTGGGCCTGCGTCAAGAGAGCAATCCAGCAAGGCAAGCAGAAACCCAACCAGGGATATAAAGCTCAAGCCGCGTGTGCAAGAATCGCAACCCACACGCATTCAGGGAGGCAGGCGTTTCCCTGAAAATACTCAGCAATAACGGTCGCCACAGGAGTCCTTGTAATAAGCACATGATAAACGCATCATCGAAGTCACTAGCTTCTTATTCTTGTCGATTCCGAAGAGCCCTGAGAGCAGAGTTGAAGTTATCTATGAACCCTGAATCTTGGTGACTCATCCCAAACCTAAGCCAACTTCCGACTCTGATAGAAAAAAATGATCAATGATTTTACGTGCAGCAATCCCTGGTTAGAATGTGCCCCGTCTTTCTATGCGAATGAGTGTGCAGTGATCACGGTATCGTAGCCATTTCGAGTGAAACCTCTCAGAGCCCGTGTTTGTTGAGACTCGCAGAGTATCTTCACCCTGGCTTGTCATCCTATCCTGCATCCAGATTCTGGGTTAGAGGCTCATTTGGAGTGTGCATGTGGCACACCGGGTGGTTGCCCGTGGAAGAGAAACCCTAAGGCACCCCACCCACGCCCGGTACTTTCTGTATACCGTAAGATTTCGTCGCTGTAAACTCGCTCAGTGATTGCTGCATCGCTAGCTGTGCAGGCAAGGAAATGGAACTGGAGCGATGGCGGAAGAGACTGATAGATATGATGCAGCAAGAATTGAGTAACGACGACGACGAGGATGCGATGACGAACATTTTGTTGCTCCAAGGGCTAAGTGCCGCGGTTGTATCGAAGCGCATGCGAGGGCCCCATGGTGGGTCTAGACCAGGCCGGCGAGCTAATGTGGAGAGGGGAAGACAGGTCGGGCAGGAGAGGATATGGCGCGACTACTTCGCGCAATCGCCTGTGCATGACGACAGAATGTTTCGGCGTCGGTATCGGATGCGGCGTAGTCTGTTCCTCCGCATCATGAATTCCGTGACAGCCCACGACGATTTCTTTGTGCAACGGCGCGATGCTTGTGGCCAACCGGGCTTGTCGCCCTTGCAGAAGTGTACTGCGGCGATCCGCGTGCTTGTGGGTCGCCGCGGCCTTGCTGATGCGTGCGACGAGTATTGCCGCCTTGGAGAAAGCACAGCCATGTTGTGTTTGAAGAAGTTTGTGAGGGCTGTGCGTGAGGTCTTCGAGGGGAGATACCTTAGACAGCCAACTGCAGCGGACGTGCGGTGTCAAATGGAGAACAATGCTGCCAGAGGCTTTCCTGGCATGTTTGCATCTTTAGATTGTATGTATTACGATTGGAAAAATTGGAAGAAAGATAGGAACAACGCCATAATCCTCGAAGCCATAGTTGATAAGCGCTCGTGGATTTGGCACTGCCATTTTGGACTGCCCGGTGGGAAGAATGACCTGAGTCTCGTAGATAGGAGCCCAGTGGTTGCCAACATGCTGTCCGTTGCTGCAAATGAGTTCAAATTCTCGGTGAACGGGGTTGAGTATCCGCGGTATTATTTGCTCACGGACGATACCTATCCCAGGTGGAGTGTGTTTGTGCAAACGATTCATGAGCCTCAAGTAGAGAAGAACTGTCTGTTTGCAGAGATGCATGAAGCTTGCAGAAGGGACGTTGAGCGCTGCTTCGGAGTGTTGCAATCTCGCTTCGCAGTAATTCAGAATCCTTCTAGGCTTTGGGATAAGGAGGTGGTGAGGGACATCATGTACGCCTGCGTCATTTTACACAACATGATAATAGAAGATGAGCAAGACCTGAATCTGGAGCCCTGTTTTGATGAGCAGATCGTTCAGTTGAGACGCGGGGAATCATTTGCTCTGGAAACGCAAGGCACTGAAGACATAGATGATTTGGGTCGGCATTTTAGCTTGAGGAATGACTTGATCGAGCATCTGTGGGCTCTCCAGGGCAACAGCTATTGAATAGAATTCTCAGCCTGCTCATCCACATTGCAGGTTGTATCAATCTACCTTACATTTCTACTTACCAATGTCCTTTAGTTGCGTTTTAGGTACTACCTTAAGCTTTATGGAAGAACTAAAAATCTGATTTTCTTTCGAACTATTCCTTCTCTATTGTTTCACAGCTCGTAACATCACGCGCACCTCTACGAAGCTCTATGTACTCATATTCTGAAGAAGTCATATGGGCTTTCTATAGGTTACAACCGTTGGTTGTACTTCTCAGAGCTTCATGCTGCGTGGCAAATGCCTTGCCTTTGTCCGTAAGAGAAAACCTCAAGAGGTCGACATGCACACGAACATCGTCGTGACATGGCTACTGCATATTCAGCGGCAATCGAATTTTCGATAGACATGACACAACTTTTACTCACAGTGCTGCTTTGAGTAGGTTATGGTTGTTTTTTGTCACCCATTGCACCCAACAAAGTACCAATCAATCCACAAAGTTTATGTTTTACTCTTTGATCGAAGGAGCAAAACAACAAATGTGCAGATGAATTGTGTATCAATTCCACAAAAAAGTGTCGCTGATCGAAATTGATGAGTTCATTTCTTTAACTCTGTCCCCTACGGTAACAAATGCGGTGACCCCCATTGCTGATTATTAGAGAGATTTTTTTTCCAAAGGACCAGCTTATACAGGTTTGCTTGAGAATAGGGTTTGCTGCAATGCGTAAATGGGACCTAGTTTATCAGAGTGAGTGCTGGAAGTAGTTGGGTGGTAGTACCAACACTGCAACGAATATGTCTTCGTTAGTATTTTATTTGACTTGTAGATGATGATCACCAATCAATCTCATTCCGACCTTGAGCATGATTAGATCCAACTGAAAGGTGATTGTAAATTAAAAGGATATTGCATTTAAAGAGAACGGATTAAGTTTTCAAGAAGTTGAATGAGAATAGAATGTAACTAAGTAATTGTATTAAATTCAAAAAAAAAATGTTGCAATGAAAATCTTTGTTTATAATATTTAGAAATGGAATATTCATTGTTATAGACTCCTGTAAATCCAAATGTAATTTTTTTTGCAATATTTCAAATAAGGTCTATATTTGTGTATATTAATAAAATACTAAGGAACTAATGCATTTTATTAATTTTCTGATTATCATGAAGGATTTTTATACTTTGTTAAAAATATGTATAAATTTAGTTTGAAGAATTGTTTGTGATTTATACATTAATGGGTTTGGAACACCTAATTGGTTGTGAATGCAATTATTTGTATTAGAAGCATTTGTATTTTTTGATGGAGGAATGTGCTTTTGCTTGATGGCTAGATTATATAAAGGAATGAACATAGACATAGGTGTAAAAATAGATTTGAATTGATATAAAAGTGATACTTTTATTATCTTAATTTTTATATTTTTATGTATTTATTAATAGAAAATTAGAAATTACAAGAATATGGTAATATATTAATGTGATAAGTGGTTTAAGGTCTAATAAATATAGATATTGTTATTTTATTTAATAAGCATAGTATATGAGATTTGGAAGTTTAAATATGAGATTGTAGATTTACAAAGTGAAAATCAAAATTGAATTAGTAAGTTTAATATATGGAGAGAAACATTTTTCCTTGATAAGTTAGAAATCACAAAAGTGTGATAATGAGTTATTGTGATTAATACTAGTATGTCTATTAAGTGTATATGTAATTGTCTAAGTAAGTAAGTATAGTATATGCAATTTTTAAGTTTATAACAGATATTAAAATAGTTAGTAGGAGTTTAGATAGTAAAATGAATCACATCAATAATAATCTAACTTGTGGAACTAAAAAGATAGGTAGAAATAATAGTTGTTGAAAGTTATGTTGATTAAAAATTTGCAACAAGAACTTATAATGTAGTTGGTTGATGTTGATACAAGATAAAATTTGATTAGATGTCTTTTAGTATTCAAGTTGGTTTTTTATTTAATCAAAAGCAGGTCAATGTATTTCAAAAATTGCATGTCATGATGTTGTATTCTTATTATAAATATGTTTTAGCATGTTTACACCTTATTGAAATATTTGTTTTAATCATGCATCTAAATTTATAAGGTATATTTGTTTAGGTAGAGATTATTTAAGGTTTAGAAATAATAAATTCTATAGTAAAGTTGTAGGTTAAAATTAAGTTATTAATATATACAAAGAGATGAAATATTGGTTTTAGGATGATTTAGAATTGATAGTTTGGTCTTAGAAATATAGATTTGATGAATAGGATAGAAAGTAATATTTGTGTTATTTTCTGCATATAAGAGATTGTAATATATTTTGATCAATAAGAAATATTTGTAATTGAAATTTTCATTGCTTTAATGGAATTACATTTTAAAAGTTGTTCTAATGCAAACATAGATTTTTCAACTATATATAGTATTTTGAGCTTTTAATGCATGCAAAAACTTCTATAAATTGTTATTTTTTCAGTATCTATTTATGTCTAACAATAATTGTGGAAAAGATTTAATCAAAGAACGAAAATAACTTTGTTTCTAATACCTAATTTAAAACAATTTAGATATTTATTTTAGTATTTGCTCATCTATAAATTGTATTAATAACCTTTGAAGTATTTTTGATGAGAAGCATTGAATTGATATGTTGTTATTTATTACTTAAATAAGTAAACTACTTCCCATTTGAGTAGCCTTGTGGTAAAGAACTTTAATCTTAGCTACAATAATATTATTTTTTATTAATTTTAATATAAATAATAATAATAAATAGAAATATTATATAAAGAATAAATTTAAAGTAAATAATATTATTAAAAGTCGTAAAAATCCTCTATGGAAGTATGTAATTTTATGTATGAAATAGTAGTTCTTTTTGGAACTGTTTTCTAATCACCATAAATTTAGTTGTGCAAAAAAATTGCTTGGCAGTGATTCTAATTTTTGTTGTATAACAATATGTTAAATATTTTTACAATATTATTTTTCGTAAAACAATTCTTACAATCTGCCATAATACTATTTTAGAATCTCTATTCCAATATTTGAGTATATAAATAAATGATAAAATAATAAAGTAATAAAAACTATCTCAGTTACCGTAGACATGCTGTAAGACGAACAAATTTATCAGCGAACAGAGAGGAATGACATCTGAGTCCATAGAAGATTTCCAAAGATGGCAGGCTTACTTCATGATCCGCGCTTGGATACTGTCAGAGAACTCTAGCAAGTTAGTAACGTATATCAAGTCGAGATTTCCGATGCAAAAGTTCATTCTTCAGTAGGAGGGGATAGACCACATTGGGTTTCAAAACTTTGTCTCTGATGGCTCAAGAAGTACCAGTAAAAGGGGAATATGATGCAAAGCACCGCACATGGTAAAAGTATTATGTAACAAGATATCCTTGACTTTCACCGAGTAGTCCAACCCTGGTGTTACATGTGAATCAATTATGCATGACTTAATGTCCCTACACTATTTTTAAGGGCGTAGCCAAGCCCTACATACTGTGTTCCATCACATTCAACATCAGTACTAATTCGTAAATTGCTTGCCTGCTGGCTGGTCTGAAACCCACGTTACGGTGATTTCATATGCACTTGTGAACATTACGAGGATTGGCTGAAAAATCGAAGAATAGATGAGAGAATAAACCAGGAAAAGTCACCTACTTGCATAGAAGGCGTGAAAACCAAAGTTGAACCGCTGATACATCCACATCTTCTTCATTGTTTCAAATGTTGAGCGAAACAAGGTTGCAATCCTGTTCTGGTCAGACAATTAACTATCTTGTTGCCCGCAAGCAAAGACTATCAAGCTGTAACAGGCTCCTTACGTGGCTCTTCAGTATCGCTGTCTGTAGTAACAGACTCCATGTGTTGATCATCTGCAGCAACATCATCTTGCATAATATGTTCATGGTGAACGTCTTCTCCATGTTCTTGCTCTTGATCAGCTTCTTTTGCTGACTCGGTTTGGGCTCCACGAATCCAGTTGTTCTTCTTTTGTACTCTTGCAATGATGTCTTTAGTAGCTGCTAACCGAGGATCATCTTCAGGGACTTTTTTTAGCTGGACATTACAATATATCATGGTTATATGAAATGAAATATAATTTATTGATGTGGACAAAGAATATATACTTTTGATGTATAAGTCCAAGTAGTGTAAGCGGTGAAAACAAGAACAGAAAGAAAACATTTGGAATGCATCAAACAAACATAAAATAAAATGAGGTGTTCAGACTAACCTGCAAGCCACTGCTGTAAGATGTGAGGGATTTGACGGAGGGCCGTAGATTCCGCTTCTGCATCATGTCCCATATGGTATTTGCAGTGGAATAGTCTCCTGCCTGTAACAATGGAACAAGGCACAAGGAATAAGACATCCATTTTGTAATCTACTGGCATTTACCTCATTTCCATCAGAAAAGGTATGAAAAAATGGTAGAGAAAAATTGTGCGTACTGTATCCAATGAAGCAAGGTAAAGGAAGTTGGATCCAATGCTTGTGTTCAAGAAAAAGCCTCTTTCGTCCATTTGATCCTGAGTAAGACAAAACAGAAACATGAATAATCAAGTCCATCTTTCCAATCAGAATGAAAATGCACCGAAAACAATGTGGACGCAACCTAGAAGTTGCAGTTGTACACACGCACCAGAAGCTTTTTAGCAGCTGCCATATTTGCTACAGTGCGTCGTTGAAGGCAGCTTTCAATGAGTGTCTGCCATGGCCAGACAAGTAGAGTAAGCGCACTAGGTTGTCTGTAACTTAAAAGTTCTTTCTTCGATGAGATATGACAACCAAAAGTAAACGAGGCCACAACGAGGAACTTTTAACGTTTTCTAAAACATATCTAGGCTTACAAAGTCTAAAATAGTAAAATACAAGGATTAGAAGCAAAAGGAGTCCACTTACAATGTAAAGACTTAACGATGGATTCTTGCCACTCTCAATGTAATCCTCCACAACTTGCATAGCTTTTTCCATTTGCCCACGTCCAATGTAAGCCCTTAAAAGGAAAACCACCTTTTGGAGTTAGTTTCATTTGTGGAGGCAAAAGCAATCAAAAAAAGGAAAAGGATAAACTCTTAAATCAAAAACTGACATATAAATTCTTCATGACTTCACTCACTTGACAAGCTCAGTAATGGTAATGGCATCGAGTTGGAGATTATCCTGTCTCATCATTCCAATAATCTTCTCTACTGCCTGCAACCAGCCGCCACCATATTCAAGTAGGTTGATGAGTATCGCACTTACAGCGTGTGAATAAAATTAAACTCAAGGTAACATGAAATGAATATGAAACCTCAAAGCTTAATATTGACAAAATTGAGGCTCTATCATACAAATCAATATATTTTCAAAAATTCAAATTAAAAACAACTGATCTCACTCAGCTCATTATTTCGCAATCACCAACCTCAATATTTCCCAGATCGCCGCAAGCCCGTAATGCAGACTGGTAAACATTAAGTCCACGATTCACAAAGCTGCGGGTAGGCTGAAGACCTCCTCCTGTTACAAGATTTGCCAGCTCCTCTTCAAAATCATCCCGACCTTCACCTTCACCTGGAAGCGTGTCAGAACCTTTCGACTGTTCCAGGAGTTCAAATATCTGCAAACATAGCATGACTTACTATCAGCAAATCTAATGCATACACGAGGATCAATAGATGTTCTTGCAATATAGGCAAATTGAACCTCTTGAACCAGATAGATGAAAACACGCAAACACGTAGAAGGGAAAACATGACCTGATATGAGTTAATTGATTGAAAGAAAGAAAAATATTTAATTAGTTAAATAAATAAGTAAGATAAAAAGGTGAAGTATATCATGCTAACCTTTTGGAATGTCAAATGATTGATAGGACGGTGGTTCTTACGGGCTTGAATAAGTGCAGAATAGCATGAACTGTTCAAGGTCAAACCAAAAGCTGCCATCCTTTGCACGACACCGTTGCTGTAGAACAAAGTCACAATATCAATTATATCGCACTTTCAGGAAAATAATCTTTATGGTAGAGATGCACCAAAAACAGGTCGAGGATCGGGACTCCCTTTTATAGTATTTAAAAGACCCTTTTGAAGGTAGAAAAAAAAATAAAAAAAAATAAAATAGTAATTTCGACGAGCTAGCTTGACATGTCTAAACGAGAGTGTACAGTGAAGAAACATACGCTTCTTCTACACGGCCAGCTGTGCCACATGCATTGAGAAGTGCGAGGAAGGTGCGGTGAGTTGGCTTCATCCCGTTCGACTCCATCTCTGCTGCCACCTATTGTAATCCATCATAAAAATAAAAATAAAAGGCAGGTTTCAAAGGATAAGTGCACTGCCAAGAGTAACATCCAAACTTCGAAAAGCGAATTTGTGAACAGCCCTGTGTAAGCATTTCAAGAGTAACATTCCAAAACTGAATGCAAAATGCGACTCTCAGTAGAGTTCACGTTGAAAATTCTCTAAAACCACTTCATAGTGATTGATGTACCTGGAAAGCACGCTCGATTTGATTTGCTTGTCCACATGTTGAGATGATACAGTTATAGAGCACAATCTGAACAAAACCACGAGTTTTTACTTGTAGCGACAGTAATAAATATGCAGGGATTTACCCGCTAAATCTGGTTATGCACTTGGATTGAATTCTAATAGAATTTAATGAGTTCCGGAAAAACACATAATGCATTTGAGACCTTTAAAAGACAAACATTACACTATGCAGAAGAAACCTGCACTTACATCAGGTACAAGCCCCATAGCTTTCATTTCATCAAAAAAGTATATCGCATCCTGCAGCCTTTGACCTTTCATACAACCCGTGATAAGAATATGGAAGGTGTTTCGAACAGGCCGAACACCATCCAACTGCATGTCTTCGTACACATCCCGCATCAAATATGACCTGCAGACGTTCACCAAGACACAGCACTCTAATGAATTTCCTTGAGCTACCGTGGTCAAATAAGTAGCTAAGATGCTGCAAAAGGCGATATTTTGAAGAAGGTATTAAAAGCAACACTTACCGCTTGTTGTGATTGAGCTCTTCTAGTACCTTGTCGTACTCATGAATGGTGTTAGCATAATTACGCGAGGCATAGGCTGCTGCATTCTGACTGGTAGAGTAGTTCTGCCGGGCACCGAACGTTGTGAAATCGTCCCTGCTTGCATGAGTTCAAAAGAAATCATATAAACCCGCAACTCAAATGTGATAGTAGTTTCGTTCACTCCCAAAACATCTCACAAAAAGGTGATCATAATTCGGGACTAAAGCGCATTCACAGACACAAAAAACATTCTGCCACAAGCACGGCTACAATGCAGAAAATGAGTTGCAACTAGGAGCAGGCTGTTCAAACCTCGAGAATGCGACGTTCACTGAATCCCATGCTGATGAATTTGAGTTGATTAACTGCCAAAAAATGAAAACAGACGAATCAATGCATAAAGAGGACAGCATGCCCAAGCATCGACGGTTGAAAATTTACGATTAAAGCTAAAATACACAGAAAATTGAATTAAGATTCTACACATTATCTGCAAAACAAGACTTAAAACTCTCATTTTAATAAGACATGGGGGATGATATAAAGAGCCACAATTTATCATACTTTCGGAATCGGATCCTCAGCACAAACCGCGAAAAACCCTAAACCCCAAATTTACAAAACACCAAACCTGGACCATCATTTTGAGAACTCTACAGCATTCAGGCCCCTCAAGCATTAAAAAAGCGATTCCTCCTGAAAACAAAATCCCAAAAATAGCCTCAAGCACCAACCCCATCTCTCAATTCCCCACTCTTACAAACCCACATAACTTCTGACCCAACCGGTATCGAAATCGAAGAGCATCTCCACCTCCAGGTGCTAAATTACAAAAAAAATAACCAACCCCAACCAAGTGCAACCAAGTCCAGGACAAACCTTCTCCGAAGCGGCAAAACTCGACAATGCATTGACAGGCCTAAGTCGAATCGCACAGCGCGAGAGGCGCTGCAACACCGCTCGTCTCATGTCGGCCCTCGAAGAGAAGCTCTTCTCTGTGTCTCTCTCTCTCCTGGTCAGACTCCAGCTCGCCCGCTCTCTCTCGCTAAATTGCTGCTGCTACTGCTCTCGACAATCGCGACGCAAGCACTCTGCTCTGCATCCACAAGCCCCACTTTGCTATGCTCCACGCTTCCATCTCCAAAGGAGAAACCTGGACACCCAAAACCCATATGGATGGATGAATGATAATGTGCTGGTTAATATGGATGATTTTTTTCGTCGACGTTGATCACCTAGGAAGATGAATGAGGAAGGGGTCGTGATGAACGTCTCATGGATGACGTTTGTTTTGTCGTAGATTTGTGAGATGGCAATGAGAAGGAATCAGCTGCAGTGAGCACTGGTGTGGGTGATGAGAGAGCACAAGCTTCTTCTTCACTTTTTCTCTTTGCCTTGGTTTCCTTTTACTTTTTGAGGTTCCGCTTGGGAGCTCGATGGCATGGATATATATACAATTGTGTGTGTGTATTTATGTATTGCGTCTATGGTTTTTGGCTTTGTGGATGGTACAAAGATTTTGCAAAAGATAAAGAGTTGATGCGTGGAAGGGACTTTGTGTGAGTGGATTGGTTCAAAATGTGTTTTTAGAACCAACAAACAAGATTTATTTTTTTATTTTTTAATTGATTAAACAATACATTTATACATAGAAGTATATATATATATATATATATAAACATAATTTCAATAGGCATTGATATTCTCTTCAAAGTTGAAATATAATAAGAAAACTATGTTGAATATAGTAAAATTCAATAAGAGTCAAATATATATATATATGTATAGAGAGAGAGAGAGAGAGAGAGAGAGATGTTGAGGAAGAAATAGATACATTTTTCGTACTAATTCTATCATTAAAAAAATTAATTGTATTTATTTACTTTATTTTAAAAAATCCTCTACATAGCATCTTGAATCAGAGTGAAAACATAACGGAGGTTTGTTTTTTTAGCAAGTTATACAGAAACTAATAGAATTGATTGTGTTGTATCAGGCCTTGATTTATAGATACGTGGTTTAAAGAATATGTTTACAAATTTCATGCGTAGTTCACAAAAGATCAACATACTTTACTGTTTTTCTCTTTTATTAGTATTGCATTTGTATGAATAATTTATACTCATTTGGGAAAGTTTAATGGCATCAACAAGAGTTGCTACAACAGTCTTTGTAATTATTTTTTAAATATTGTGAAAAAAAATACGTAAAGGAATTGCTAATAGAATTTCACAAGGAAAAAAGAAAGAATTATGGTTAAAAACTATACTGATTTTTTAAGAAAACTGATCTATACACTGTACTGAGTACAGATTTTTAGATATAAATCACTAATGAAAATTTCATAAAAGTTATTTAACAAAACAATTTATATTCATTTGGGTTTTCAACAAGAGCCATATATACATATAGTTTTTATTTTTATATATAAACCTCAAAAGCACAGCAACAGTAATGCCCCATATCTGAGATTATATTTATTTTTAAATCTGTTTTTCTAAAGAAAAAATTATCAACACACATATATATTTTCAACAAAATCTCATACATGATTTTTCTCTATATATGATTTCTAGAATTTAGAAGAATACGTTACAAAAACCTCCAAATAACTAAATAATTTAAGACAATGTGCGACAACAGCTCTTAGCATCTTCAAAACAACTCAAAACGTGAGTCCAAATTTCTTTTTCTTTAAAGGCTCATTTTCCTTTACACGCTCTTTTCGTTTCAACACTCGCGAATTTGATGCAGTATGCCCCCTGGCTCTTCCAACCCTGCGCGAGTGTGGCTTGGAGAGTTCCAAGCCTAGCCCTTCCAAGCCTCGAGAATTCCAGACCTAAAAGGGCAGAAACAACAAAACCGAGGCTGCTCAGCCGGAAGAACTCTCTCAAATTTCAGTCGTCCTCGAACCCCTCAGCAAGCGGCCGGCTCTCTGCTGGTGTCTGTCTCGGGCGGTTTTGCGATCAATCTCTCAGGTGCCTACTCGCCTCCTGTTCTTGAATCTTCTTGCAGTACTGTATTAGTTACGTGCTATCTTCTGTAGTTACGAACAAAAGTTTCTATACCTTTTTTTTGGTTAAAGGAGCGCATTACAGGAACAAAATCTCTTGTGAGCACTGAATTGTTGAACACGTTGCTTGTACAAGGGCCGAATATGTCTCGTAGTCGTGGTTTCGCTCACTTCCTGAATGAAATTTGTTTTTGTACAGAATGGCGATGCCAATGAAACCTGGAAAGGTCGGAGTGGAAGAGGCCGTTGAGACCGTCCACCGTATTCGGATCACTCTTTCCTCCAAAAACGTGAAGAACCTCGAGAAGGGTGAGTTTTCTTGTGCTGAAGTAATCTTACGCTACCCCTCGCAGTTGTTGGTGTTATACTATGTACTGGCGCAATTTTGTCTGGGTTATGGTGAGATTGGCAACTTAATTCGATGTTTAGGGTTTATTGAAGGGTACTCTAGGGCGGAGGGCATCGATTTCCTTCAGAAGGTTGTGGGTTTTCTCTTTCTTTTTTCAGACTGTGTTTCTGACGTTGTGTTTGGATATAGTGTGCGCCGACTTAATCAAGGGTGCTAAGGACAAGAGGCTCAAAGTGAAGGGACCAGTGCGTATGCCTACCAAGGTTTTGCACATCACCACCAGGAAGTCTCCTTGTGGAGAAGGTATGTTGATGAATTCAGTAATTGTCCATTCTCGCTGTTTTGAATGGTATGCAGTCGCGTGTCACTCTCTGTGAAGCCGTTCATACTCTAAGATGTGTAACTCTGGGAGACCCATGCCCACATACCAACGGTCTTGTAATATTATTTCTAATTCCTCTGGCGCACCCATATCTTAATTACTTTCCACATCAACCAATCACACTTTTTCCACCGCAGCGCTGGCTATTATCATCGTTCGGAGTAGTATGGCTGGGGTGCTAAGGATTTTGTCAGTTCACTAACCCCTCTAGGATGTTAACATGTGAGTGATATTAGACTAGTATGCCATGTTCTATTACCACCGACCTAATATTTCCATCTGCGTCGTTGATGTGGGAGTAAGACAATAGTCGCTTGGCACACCATCAGAAGTAGGATAAATCAGGAAAAGGTTGCTTTCGTCTGGTCTACGAAGAAATGTAGGTACTTTTGAAGCTGTAATTCAAATCTTGCTGTGTGTCGTACTGAAAGACCCGTTTGTTGAGCAGGTACCAACACCTGGGACAGGTTTGAATTGCGCGTGCACAAGCGTGTGATCGATCTCCACAGCCCTTCGGAAGTGGTTAAGCAGATCACTTCTATCACTATTGAGCCTGGTGTTGAGGTTGAGGTTACCATCGCTGATGTTTAATTCAGCGTCACATTGTACTTCTTCTGGTGCTATGAGCATTATAATATAGCATCCTTCTTCTCACATTGCCTGTTAATTGAGATTAACCTCTGGTAGTATCGTAGGATTTACTCTCTCCCTTGTCCTGAGATTAATGGTGAATGTGTTGATGTATGTTTCTCACTGCTATTTTCTACATAGATTGAAATAGTATTGTCTTTTGTGAGATTGTCATTCTTTCGTTTGACTACTGTGTAAGAACTTTACCCAGACGGTCTGTTTTGTGCTGGGCAGAGCTGCGAGTTTCCACAGGTTGAAAATTGTGCGAGTTAGATTAAGTTTGAATGGGATGGCGTCTCCACTGTCATTATTCACATTTCAGTCTGATTTTGGTAGTGGTAGATTCGTTCAATTAATATTGATGGAGTCGCCTCCTTCGCAGATATAAGTCACCTTCCGACACATTCGTCCAGAATATGCACCTCAATGCATGTCAATAGAATACTTGCAGTGGTCAGAAATACACTTTACTACACTGCTTTTTGTGTAATCAATCTGACGTTTTTTCCTCAGTGAGAAAGTGTAGTGGCAGCTAGCACTCGGCGCTTGTAAAGTCACATGTCCCAGCGCTTCTTCATTCTGTCTTGAAGTTGCATGTTATCATGATGTTGAGAAACGGGACTAATTCTGAATGGTTGTAGTTCCATCATTTTCATGTACGTTAACCATGTATGATATCTGTGGAGAATGATTGACTGAATGTTAAATGGAGAGAGAGCTCTTCTCTCTAACCACAATTGCACAACGTTCAACATTCAAACTTATTGATGTGCGAAGTTCCCCAATACACAGTGCCCGATAAACAGTGCCCGATACACAGAAATGGACCCAATACCCAGGTGCACACGTCGTAGTGCCATGAATTATGTACACACACATGCGTTCCGGAAGGATGTTTCAATTTCATTTCGAAATATTTAGTTTAAATCATTATGATGCGATTGATCACTCAGCATCTGGTTTTTCAATTCCCATCAATCCCTTGCGGAGAAGATCCATGGGAGAAGGCAAATTACCGGAGGAAGCGCAGGATCGCTGAGTCCAGCAATGCGATTGAATAGGTTTGCAACTCCATTTCTAGATGGTTCCATTTCAGTCAGATCTTCAAAGCTTTAAATCCATACGTATTATTCAGTTGGAATTTCGGCATTGAGCTAAGGGGTGGTACAATAGATTTCAAAACATTATCTTGGGAACAAAACAGAAGGTACAGTTAAAAGAATATCCTTGAATACTTAAACATAGTGAATTATTTTGCAAGGTGGCGTAAGACATAGGAAAGTGCCTCATGCGTTATAGGAAAGTTGGAAGCAAGGTACAAACATTGTTGATTATTTGTGGAACAAGATTGGGAAAGGTTGTAAACATTCGACATTTTAAAATTAAACTTATGCCAAAGTTGAGTAAAACTAGGGGATAACTGCAGTTATTCCACGGAAATTTTTGGTAACAGCAACAACAAAATAATCCTCGGATAGATCAGAAGCATCATGGCTTCCACTGCAGAAGCCATCTAATCCCAAGTAGCACCAACAACTGTTTGAAAAACAACAAAATCTCACCTCATTTCTTGCGATTCACGACAGAACAAAATGTATTGCAACAAAGACTACAATCAATAGAAACGAAAACAAATTAGGAGTTCGAGACTTGGTTTATTGCAGTTCCAGATTGAAACAAATAATAGTCCATTCGTATTAGCAAAACATGGTTACTAGCCCACCAGATTGTTGTTTAAAGGACACCAACTCACAGACATGCAGATAAAGACAAATACAGGACGATTTGCTACCTCCAATCTTTCCACCACAATGCATCTGTCTCCTCATTTTTGGTCAGATTCACGATATTGTGTTACACAAGAGGGTTCTTATCATAGACGACCTGAATCCAAGTAGCAGCGATCGGAGATGCACCTGAAGACATGAAGCGGTTCTCATTTCATTTCAACATTGAGAACTGTGCCACATCTCTGTGGGGTTTTGGCTTTGTTCCCTACAGTTCAGGAAGATGAGAAGCTCGATCTTAGACACGGGAATCGCCGAAGTGGATACAGGAAGGAATGTGGAAGAAGTGGGGTTTTAGAAGACGTTCTTCGGCACACCTGTTAGTCTCCAACCTGTTCTACAGTAGAATCTGTTGTTTTCACTTCGCCGTTCATACACTGGAGAAGAGTGTATCTAGTTTGCAACAGCTGTATTGATCCTGGTCTAAGAAGGAACTGAGGACATGCGTCGTTGATTCTCCGAAGAAATTCCCAAACTTGGCGACGTAGAATCTCGGATTGCATCTCCATTACTCCGGTCAAATGGCTCCACTTGATATGACATCATCATTCAATTCCAGTTCCGTAGTGCCGAGCCATATTGCCATGATTTGAACAGTTTCTATCCTGTCATAGTGACTGTTGTCCTCTATGTAATCTTCACTAGGGGAAGTTGATTTTCTTTTCTGAATTATGTGAAAGTGTCCTTACTTTGTCGTGTGAAAAGCCATCAATAAACTGCATCTTTGTGTTGACCTTGTTGTCTTCGTGCAGATCCAATCCCACATCCAATTTTGGTTCCAATTACGACGGATATATTTTAGATGATCAAGCCGAATCTAATTCAGCATTCCTTTTGTCAATACCAGGACTGGTTATAAAAAAAAATAAAAATATGCTTCATGTTCCGGTGTAACGTAAGATAGAAACGAGTAAGATTAGGAAGTCGATATGCTTGATGGGGGTGTAACATTTGGTAAAAGGAGATGACTTTCTGTAGTTGACGCTCAAATCAGGTTCAATTCTCTGCTACATTATTCAGAATCAACTTCACGATTCGAGAGAGGGAACCTGCACATGGTCAATAAATCCTTCTGCTCTACCTGCAAGATTTTAACAAGACTTTTGACTGGTTCATGAATCCGCTGTCAGGTGACTGATGTATTGCATGCAAATTTAGAGCTCTGATTTCGAATGAGCACCAAGCACAGCGACTGACGTCAGGTGTGTGCAATCGTCATGGTGTGACATAGTCAATCCCGAATCCAAGTTCCGGAACAAGGAACATCGAATGCAGGTGCGATGGGTACGGTTCCTTCCTTAAATTGGGTGGAGTTAAAATGAACCCTGCAAGTAACGCCCAACTTGCTCGTATCCACTTGCATTCCAGTATCGAAGGATAAAAAATCTCTGGCAGAAGAATGGTTAACAGATCCCAGGGTGATGCAACGCAGGCGGAATCTTAATTCTATTTCTTTATTTGGAACTCACGATTCTGAATCTACTATGCTTTGCCGAATGAAGGAAAAAAATATGCTCTGTTTCGACACACTGAGCCATCCCGGTTTCATTGTCGAGATAGTTCACCATCTGAGAGGTGAAACGGACCAGATGTAAGAGTATCTCATCCTAGAGACGAATATCGAACTGGTATGTTGCAGAATTGGACACGGAATAATCTTCGATATGGACAATTATGGGAGGGGGCTGTAGTAAAGTGAAGAGGATTTGTTGACTGCTGCTTCGGAGCTTGCGTCTAGAACTGAAATTGGTCAAAGTGGAAGGGGAGCATAAATCTCTTGCCATGTCCCACCTGGTTTACTTGCACAGCGTGGGTGATACTCGTGAGGAGATCAGTTTGTGTGTAATCCGGGGAGGTGGGGGAGAGGGGGAGGGAGAGGATGAGAGAGAGCCCCACAGTCTGGGATGCGGCTCGAATCGGGGCAGAAAGAAAGGGGAAAGTAAGATGCCTGCGCAATTGTTAATTTGCACGGAATGAATGCAATTGGCAAGATAACTCTACGGATGGGCTGCAAGGTTCCCGCCGACTTTCTCGTCTAGGGATATTGCGCGCTGTGCGCGCGAAGATTCCAACTCCGTAACATTGTCACTATTCTTTTTTGCTGCGGCCAACAAGTTGTAGAATGGCATGCAGGCTAGCCACATTCATTTTGTGCTGCAATTCTAAGAAATAGTTCGTTGCCTATGGAGCGCTGAGAAAAGACCTGGTCGTCTGGCATTATGTCGAACGCAGGAAGGGAGGAGATCCGTCGTTTTATGAGCACCTGTGACGAGATTGCTAAAAATATCCCTCGCTGCTAGCTTTCCAATTAAGCGTTCGTCCCGAGAAGATTCAGCTGCACTTGTGTATAAATTAGCGACGCCAACAGTGTTTAAGGAAGTGTGTCTTCTCCATTCCAGCAGGGTTGCTCCAGGCCGCCGGAAAGCACATCCCTGAGCAGGAGGAAGGGGGGAAAGAGGTTTGTGGAGATGGCGTCGACTGGATGTCCAGCGAATTTACCAGGTCTGGAGTACTACACCTTTGCCAACGGTGTGTGTTCCAGACAAGACAGTTATTTCGGAGGGAAGCCCTTGCTCTCCCAGGGGATCGGCTATGCCGTTGTTTTGGGCTTTGGTGCTCTCTTCGCATTGGTCACGTCTTTCCTGGTGAGTCGTCGAATTCCACGTCGAATTCAACGATTATGATGAAGGATGAGAGGAAGAAGAAAAAGTTGTAGTTTTCTCTCTCGATCATATTGTTAGAGAGGTGTTTCTGCATGTAATCTTAGTTCTGTGGATTGTCTTAAATGCAGGTGTGGCTGGAGCAGCGCTACATCTTCTCTCGGCATAATTCCGAGTGGTTCAACACCGCGGGACGAAACATCAAAACTGGGCTGATCGCCAGCGTCATTGTTTCTCAGGTAGGCCAAAGTTTCGCAACATTAGTCGGTATTAACTTCAAAATCGTTGACGAGGATTCAGAAGTTTTAGAAACGTTGGCTGACAGACATGACCCTGGTTGTGGTTGTTTCGCAGTGGACATGGGCTGCAACGATTCTCCAGAGTTCCAATGTGGCCTGGCAGTATGGAGTAAGCGGTCCCTTCTGGTATGCAAGTGGCGCCACCGTGCAGGTGTTGCTGTTCGGCGTCTTGGCTATTGAAATCAAGCGAAAAGCGCCCGGCGCGCATACCATCTGCGAAATTATTCGGGCCAGATGGGGTACGGCCACGCATATAGTTTTCCTCTGCTTCTGCTTCGCCACCAACATCATCGTGACCGCCATGCTTCTTCTGGGAGGGTCGGCTGTGGTTAACGCGTTGACAGGCATGAACTTGTACGCCGCAAGTTTCCTCATCCCCTTGGGAGTGGTCGTGTATACCTTGCACGGAGGTCTCAAGGCCACCTTTCTGGCTAGTTATCTGCACTCAGTTATTGGTAAGGTCACCCGTTCGTCACTAATCCCCCGTTTCTAGCAAAATTGTCTTTCATCCCCGCCCACGTGATCATCAACTTGGGGTTGTAACAGGGTTTTTTGTGGATTGTGGTCGATTGCAGTGCACGCCGTGCTCGTGGTGTTCGTCTTCTTGGTCTACGTTACGAGCGAGAAGCTTGGAAGCCCCAAGGATGTGTACGCGAAGCTTCACAGTGTAGTGGCAATTCAAGACTGCACGGCACCCCTCAATCACAATACCCAAGCATGTGGGCCGGTGAAAGGCAACAACGGAGGCTCGTACCTTACCATGCTCAGCACTGGGGGCCTGGTCTTTGGTATCATCAACATAGTTGGCAACTTCGGCACCGTGTTTGTAGACAATGTAAACGATCTCTCTCAGAAAGGCGTCATTTCTCTATCACATTTTCTACAACGGCGAGAGGCTCCACGTCGTACTTGAGGTTAAACGAGTTTTGGATGGTGTGATGCAGGGCTACTGGATGAGCGCTATCGCTGCAAGACCTTCCTCGACGCACAAGGGCTACTTGCTGGGAGGACTCGTTTGGTTTGCGGTGCCGTTCTCTCTGGCCACATCGTTGGGTCTTGGATCACTTGCGCTAGGTCTTCCCCTTACCGCCGATGAAGCTAACCATGGCCTCGTACCCCCTGCAACAGCCACTGCTCTCTTGGGGAAGAGCGGCGCCATCCTTCTTCTTACCATGCTTTTCATGTAAGTGCAGCTTATGTTGCTCCTCGTCATGGCGCCCCTTCGTGTTAATTTTACGTAAGAAATATTCTGACGTATACAATTTTGTCCGTAAATGCAGGGCGGTGACGTCCGCAGGATCGTCGGAGCTGATCGCATTTTCCTCGCTCTGCACGTATGATATCTACCGCACCTACGTCAACCCCAAGGCCACCGGCAAGCAGATTCTCTGGGTGTCAAGATTGATCGTGTTGTTATTCGGGTGTTTCATGGGCGTGTTGGCCGTAGTGCTGAACAAGGCGGGTGTGTCCTTGGGCTGGATGTACTTGGCCATGGGTGTCTTCATCGGGTCTGCTGTCATCCCCGTGGCCTTCTTGCTCCTGTGGAGAAAAGCGAACGCCAAGGGCGCCATTTGTGGCTCCATCATTGGAATGCTCGCGGGGGTGATCACATGGCTCGTAGTGACCGCAGTCATGTACAAGCGCGTCAACCTGGACACCACGGGTCGAAACGCCCCCATGCTCGCCGGGAACTTGGTGTCCATTCTCATCGGAGGCGCTGTTCACGCCGTTATGAGCTTCGTAGCGCCGCAAAACTACAACTGGGACACCACCAAGCACATCACCATGGTGGAGCTCGACGCGTCGGACGTGCCCGATGAGGAGTACAGCGAGGCTAAGCTGAAGCACGCCCGCGCATGGATCATCAAATGGGGGGTCGGCTTCACCATCCTCATCGTCATCATCTGGCCCATCTTCGCATTGCCAGCGAAGGTCTTCTCCGAGGGCTACTTCACTTTCTGGGCGGCTATCGCCATCATCTGGGGAACTGTGGGCTCAGCCGTGATCATCTTCCTGCCCCTATACGAGAGCTGGGATACCATCTCCTTCATTGTCATGGGGATGTTCACCAGCGATATCATGTACGAGAGGCTAGACGACATCAGCAGCCGCCTCCGCGCGATCATGACCTCCATGCCGGAGGCTGAGCGCCTCTACTTGCTCGAAAAGGAGAAACACAAGATAGAAGAGGCCAACGAATCCATCATGGCCAAGGAAAAGGAGTTGAATGACGGGTAGTCTCCTCTCCCCTCCCTGGTTCCGTCCGTGCCGTATGCTCCAGCTCCTCTCCACCGCAACTGATTGCTCAAGCCTGCAGGAGCTGCCTGAGCTGCACAGATGTTGTCAGTTAGATCCCGAGCTCTTGAAGTCCATGGCCCTTCCATCCTTCAATTACTGATTGAATGTGTGCTTTCACGATGGGACCCAATTCCTCTTTTTCTCGCATTCTCTGCATTGCTTGTTTCTGTGTGAGGCGCCGCGCGCGTCGCGAGTGGAGCGCGCAGGATTACGAGGAAAGCGTTGGCCTAATTCCCACTTGGCTTCTGCTTCTTGCTTGTTTAGCTTGTACATTAGACGTCTAATGGTGACTTTTGTTGCAATTCAAGCTCTCTGCGTGGGTACAATCGCACCAATATTGTGAATGAATTCTTCAAAATGTAGATTCAATAAAGTAAAAACAAAACAAAAAAGTGATTGATGTAGATTTGCCCACTTAATTGCATAGAAGAAGGTGACAATGTGGGAGATTGTTGTAAAGTTTGAACAATTGTGATGTTCTTTGTTGGACAAGGATTGAATATCAAAATCAGACTCGGTTAGAAACAACATGCATTCACAATCAAAAAATTACATAAAAAGAACATTGGTTGTGAATGCATGTTCTTTTTATATATGATGTTTTAGTAATTCTTTTTTTCTTTTAAAAATTATGTTTCCATTTATAAAATAAATAAGTAAATAAAATTTTAATTTTAATATATTTTTAAAAATATATATAAATCTTTTGTCTTTTTAAAGTTTTACTTGTGAATTTTGCTAGTTCAAAAATAAAATTGATGATTTATTGCTTGACAAACTTATACATATTATGGATGAAGACTAAAGCATAAAAATTCTTAAATTGTAAGATTTTCCTTAGGATTCAAAATTACTTTGTTAGTCTGTACAATATATACATATACACTTTAAAAAGATAAAACAACTTCATATTGATTCAAATCTTAAAATACAAGTTAAACATATCTAAAGTTCTCTTCATGCTTATTTGTGTTAAATTAGTAATATATTTTTTTAGTTCATATTTTTCTAACTGAAAATTAAAATATTTTCGTAATGAACATACATTATTTTAAAAGAAAATTTACAATAAATCGTTAAAATTTGAGTAGAAATGATTTTCATTCAAAACTTCAAATCTTTTAGATCAAATATATTCTTTTATCAAAAAATAATATAGTAAAGAAATATATTGAAAATATTTATTTAATTTTATTTAAACAATTTTTATTTATGTTTAAAATAGCTACAAATCAATACTTTTGATGTACTTCTATTTGCCAATGAAGATTCTAAGTTTCTATTATAATAGCCTAGATTTTAGAAATAAGTTCAAAAAATAATAGATTTATTTTTTCTATTTGTTTTTTTTAATATTTTTGTAGCATTATTATTTATAGATGGATAGATATTGGAAATGCTTATTATCATTCTAATTAGACAAAAGTAAAATTTTATTTTTATTGATTATATATATATATATATATATATATATATATATATATATATAATGTTGGTTATGTCTAGTTATTAATTACAAATTATAAATTTAATAGTATTTTTCTACACCAATATATTGAATACATAATACATTGTGTTGTTTCAAATCCATATAGATTATGCTTACACTAATCTATTTGTAAAAATGATTATGCATATCCAAAGTGTATGTAGCAATATTGGAAAATGTGCCACAAATTACAAATTAAAACCAAAATAGAGTTGTTGCCTATTATAATTAGAAAGTAGATGGAAAAATTAGACACATATACCACCAAAATAAAAAAAAATTAGAAGTAACTCTAAAAATGATATTAGACAAATTCTAAGCTAATTAGACCTCCTCTCCTTGTTCCATGTGCCATAGTTGAAGCCTCTTTAATGATGGTATATTCAACCAATATCATCTTAATGTAGCATATTGATAGTGTTCATTAAAATTACTTCTAAAAATTTATTAACTTCCCTTGGATTTACTCTTATATTATAGACATAGCTATGTTCTAATAAGATCTTCTCAATGTTGGAAAATACTAAGGTTATTGAATATTATTGGCATAATACATTGAAACAATTTTGCTTTCTTATTACATACTTCTATCTACAATTCAAAATCAACTATTTTGACTATAGATTAGATATCATGTTTAATAGAAGTTTGTAAGACTAGTAGTTGTTTATACAAAAGAAAATAAGAAAAAAAATGTTTCCAAAATAACATACTTATTGAAGTAGTATTCTATAGTCAACAAAAATTATTTGCAAATTTCAATCTCTATGATGTCCTTTTTGCAAACCATGTTTCTTAAAGGTCCTCCTAACATCATATATTATGTGTTTTGTTAATCCATTTTTCCTAGGATTAATGAAACACATTCCTGAAAAAATTCTATTATATACTTAACATCTAAAAATAATATATTGTATATATCTTTCCATATCAAGCGACCAATATTGGCATTACAAAAAACTACAAGTTTTTTTTAATTCCAAAATATTTTAATTCCTCTAGGATGTAAAGTACCAACTTTTTATGTTCTTATGATCTTAGAACTACATAAATAATTCTATCCAACTCTTTTCAAGATAAATGAGTCCCCTTCCATTCAAACCTTATAGTTTTATATTTATAAAAGGTATAGGATCCTATATCTCTTTTAAAAATCACATCAAGTAATAATTTATTTTTTGTTTTTTAAAATAATTTAATACTAATTCATTCTTGAAAATATCTTTGATGCCTCTAATTTCTTTTCTTACTTCAATATTATTAAAAAGCACTTTTTAATGAGTTTCTATTTAATACTAATAAATTAAGATATGTTGATGCATGCCATAGTAACACTTCTTTCTCATACTTTCCATCTTGTTACCTATCTCTTATAGAATCTTTTTGGCTTGAAGAAAAATTTCTATTTAATCCATCAACATTTGTATTTATTAATCTTGTATTATGCACTATCTTAAAGTTATATTTTTAAAGCATCTATGTCCATCTTATAAGTTTTAAGTCAATTTATCATATTCTATAAGCCATTGTAGTAGTTGGTAGTCAATTAATAAGAAAAGTTCTATGCTATATAAATAACATCAAAAGCGTGTAATTACTTAAATGGTAACTATGAATTATTATCTATATAAATTATATTATTTTTTATATTTTTGTTTAATCCACTAGCATAAGCTACTACAAATTCTTTGTCTTTACTATTCATTTGAATAAAAACATATCTAATGCATAAAGTACTTAAATTGGTATATAATAAATATAGCCTCTCTAAAATAGACCTCTATAGAATTAGTACATTTAAGAAATATAGTCTTATGTTCAATAAATGTTGCTTCTTGTTTATTATTTAAGATCCACTTTTTATCATTTATAATAAGTATATTTGAAGATTTAGCTATATGGCTAAAATCTATAATAAAATTTCTATAATAATTAATTAATTCAAGTAAATCCTTAATTGGTTCAAATCCTTAGATTTTTTAATACTTGCCAAAGTCTTTATTTTGATTTTTAGTATATGTAACTTCCTTAGATGAATCATATGTTATATCTATTCTATCTGTGAACTAAAGAAAATATACTTGTTTATATGTAACTTTAGTTTATCATTTATCAAGTACTCTAATACCATAATAAGATGTCTTTGATGCTCCTATCTATTATTATTGAAGAGAAGAATATCATCTATGCAATCTTATAAGCACTTTATTTATTAACTTTTTTAACTCATCAAGCACATTCTTTGGTTTAAATAATTGAAACTTTAATTGATAAAATCTATTCTTTTTAAATTCATCAATTCTTTAAAATATTAACTTATATTTTTGTTTTCTTTTTTTTACTGATAGTTGGTGATATTTAGATCTTAAATCTAAAGCACTAAAGACTTAAATATGTCTAATAGTGTCATTTTTTTTTTTTTTTAAAAGCATGGCATATCTATCTAACTTTGTTATTTTTTTAATAGGCCAATAGTAACCATACATCTACTTCTTTATTCAATTATCAAAGATATTTATTTGAAAAAGGTATCATTATAGTGAATGCATATTTTCCATTAAAATATTCTACCAATTCGACATCTAAATTTTTTTTTATTTGAATTTTTATCAACACTTTTTTTGCTCTATTATACCTATAAGGTTTACAAAAGAAGAACATCATCTACTAAGATAATTTGTATTTCAAATCTCTTAAGAATCTCTAAATTTTTAAATCCAAAAGCAAAGTAATTATCATAGACATACACAACTATCTAACTTAGAAGAATAAAGTAGAAGGTAAATATAGGTAGATTTAATTATACCTTGTAGAGAAGCTTTTCAAAAGCTTCATAGATGCAAATTTGACTTTATATGTGTCTAAAAGTGATTGATAGGTTGGAAACTTAGCAAACAAGTTGGCCATGTATTGCACATGTTGGCGACTTGTGGTACAAGTTGGTAATGTGGTAAGAAAACTTGTCTTACAAGTTAGACATATGTTGGAGGTCCTATAGAATATTGTCACATAGCTTTTAGTTAGATAGTATGTATAGAGGCAAGAATGAAGCCTTCTTCACTCTTATCAATATATTTTTTATTTTTAGTCTTCTTATCTTTAGCAATAGTCATTTTGATTTTAATATTATATTATCTTTGAATAATTTTCTATAGTTTCTTTAATAATATAAGAATGTATTGATCTTTTGATTGATTTTAAATTAATGTCCTTGACATAATTTTTGGATATAATTATGAAATCCTTAAAGAGTATATAGAGACAATCTTTGAATTTCTTTGAGTATTGATGTTCTTCTTACATTTTTGCTCTTCGTTCAAGCCCCACATTTGATTCTCAATTCTTTGGTATGAATGGTGGCTTCTCTTTTTAGAAGCCAATAGCACTCTTTGTGATTTCTATATAATTCTATTAGGCACAAAGCCTTCTTTCTTTGTGCTAAAATATGTCCAAAAACTTCCTTTTCTTCAATAAGAATTTTACATTATTTATTGACCTAGTAATTTTAAAGAAAAATAATATCTCTATATATTTTTTAAGAATTTTATAATTATTTAAAGATGATGCAAAATACCTTTCAAGTAGTTTTTTTATATCCTATAATTTCTAAAGATATAATGGTTATTATTGTTTGCCTCCAATTATCTCAACATTCATCCCAAATTAAAATAGACTTTGCATTATAATCTATATTTTTAAGAATGATAGTATAGATGACTTAATAGTTTGTAAATTTTGTTGCTTACTCAAAGCAACAATAATTATCTATGTTAAATAATTTAAATCTACTAAATCTCTAATCAATCTCATTTTTTTATATAGAAAGATAAAATGATCAAAAAATTATATAAGATTAGTAAAAAATCCTATGGCACACTTCCACTCATCTATATCAGGTACATCAACGATATATTTTGCATCAATTTTGTCTAAAATAGTACAAGGTCTAACTTCTCAAAATACATATAATTTGATAAAACTCACAAATATA